ATCACACTTTTGTGTAGGCCACATATAATGAGGTATTCTGTCGGCAGACCTCAATAACACTGCCAAAAATGTTTTCCTTTCACCTTTGCAGTAGTGTGCTTACTGTGCTAGCTCAGTAACAAAATTGCCCAAGCTCAGCACTGGTATGCTGTTAAGCAAAGAGTGATGATGCGAATAGCGACTGAGGAGGAAAAAGAGGCTCAAAATAGGTTTCGCTGTAGCTTCGTGGAACATACTGAAGAGGAGAGAGAAAAACAGAGGGAAAGGGCAGCTGGGTTTATGTACAGCTGCTATCTGGGTGGAAGAATCTGGCCTGAGTTAGTGACTCTGTTGGGGTTTGCTTGCCTATGTGTGCCAGTACTTCTTCTTTTGCTCTGTGGGGGATTCAGTTTTATCCACCTCCCCCTGAACAGCCTGTCTATCATACATCTGTAAAGATACATGGCCTGGAACAGACCTGAAACTCACTGGATACATTGTAAACATACCATATTTTCTATCGCCCTACAATCCATCGCGCTCTTTAAGATCACTAAATTCGAGGCTTCTGGTCATTCCTAGGATATCCAGATCCACCAAAGGAGGGAGAGCATTTTCACATTTAGCTCCGAAGCTCTGGAATAGCCTTCCTGATATTGTTCGTTGCTCAGACTCGCTCTCCCAGTTTAAAACTAGACTAAAGACGCATTTATTTAGCCTGGCATTCATATACATTTTTTATCTTACAGTTACTGTAAATTTGGCCTCTAGTTCATAAACGCCAGAGGAGAACTGGCCCCCGACTGAGCCTGGGTTCTCCCAAGGTTTTTTTTTTCTCCATTGGATGATCTGATGGAGTTTCAGGACACCATCGGGTCACTTGATGGAGTTTTTCGGTTCCTTGCCACTGTTGCCTTTGGCTTGCTCAGTTGGGGATATTCAAATTAAATGACCCATCATACCATTGATCAGCTCTACCAAACTTGATTGTCTTTTTTTCATGAATAAACAAACACTGTTATGTTGTCTTGATTGATACTGTGAAGCAGCTTTGATACAATCTGTATTGTGAAAAGCGCTATATAAATATATTTGACTTGACTTGACCTATTAAGCCCATTAAGCACACTACCATCTTTGAACTCAGATTATAAAAAGAAAAAAAAATAATGTATTGTCCTACTTGATGTCTTAATCAACTAATGTGTTTGTTATTACATACCTCCTGTAATTTCAAGCAAATCAGACCATTGCACTTTGAGATATGGATATCCATGTGTTCACACTGTCTGGTGGCCATTTTGAAAGCTTTCTGAGAACTTTCACCAGGAGAGGAGACCCTCAAATGTGCATTTTTTTTTTTTTACTTTAAGCCTTTATTTTGGGTTAGTATAACTACTTACTGCAAAATTAAGACATTAATGTTTATACTTTTGCATATTATAACCTGGAACCTGGATGTGGGAAAGACTTTATTTTATAGTAAGATGAGCTTTAAGCTGCAGTCCGTAGCTTTTTTGTGGTTAAAAATGTTACAAAATACATATTTGAGAAAATGCATAACCAGCCAGTGTTCAAAACTATCTGCTTACCTTAGCTCGATTCAAACCGGTAAGCTTGAAATAATGTTTTTAATGGGCTATATGCACGCATAAGTTCCGCATTTGACGCAAGGATGCCTGTCCATTTCCGGTTGTGGAGATTTAAGCGGAGGAGAACCGAGGAAAACGGGATTATGGCAGAGTCTTCAAAATTTACTGTCCTCCCGTCTTTGAAACGAAACGTACATACGTTTAGATGTAATTTTATATATAGTTATGTTTATTTAATATCATTTTAAAAAGAAGCATAAACACAACAAGGGGTGTCTGTTTTATCTGTTTTTGTGTCTAACGTTTCTTTATTATAACCATGGAGTATAAAATTCAATATAAATTCTCTGTATTGCATTAGACTCTACGATCGGCGGAAGTTATCGAGCATCCCTAATCCTTCACCGGAAATACCGCCGTGCATAGAGCCCATTCCAGTGGTACTGGTGGTTTTCCGTGGGAGATTCGAGCATGTCTTTACGTTATTATGTCACATCTGTACACATAAAAAAGGAGTCTTGGCTAGTAGGCTATATTGCATGTGAGGATGTTGGAGGTGGAGATTTACAGCCTTTTCTCACAGCACTTCATATAACTAAACTTATAAATTTGATGGCGGATCCAGAAAGGATACATATAGGAAGGACATTACATGTACTTTAGTCACACAATGCTGGTGTTAACATTAACAATTTGAGAACAAAGTAGAATTTGCACGGTTTTACGTGATATGATAAGCGATTGTTAGATTTAATCAGCATGATTTACTGCAATGCCAGAACCATAACAATAGTGGATGTTAGTTTCTTCAGTTGACATTTTCTGGTGAAAGTTATTATGTTGGTCATAATTTCAATTAGCCTGACTTCGTCATACTCATATTCTGGTCAGAATATGAGTCTGAAACTCCTCCATAGGGCTTTGATTATGAGGCGTGTCTTAACCAAATCAGGAAAAAAAAAAAACTCTGCACTCAATTGGATAGTCAGTAGACCTACAACCAATCAGCGCAATGCAGTAAGTCAACTACTTTGCACATCGCAGCTGTTAACAGAACTTACTTTTTTTAGAAGTAAAATAACAAGTGTTGCTTCTTTTACTTGGTCCTCCATGAGTGCGACCAAAGGAGAAACCACAGGCTTTACATTACGTCCCATCTTCTTAGCGACCGTCGGAGCCAGCTGATAAGTTACACTTTTGCCGAATCATGTAGGAAGGACGGCAAAAATATCTTTCCGATCGACAAATGCCTTGTTTGCAGTTTTCTGTTTGTCTATTAAAATGAATGCGCTGTTGATTTATTTTACAACAGACGCGACAGTGGAATCTATACATCTCAATTCTCCAGCTGCAGTCATCTCTGAGGGAAACCAACCAGTTAAGCGCTCTTTGATAACGTGATGATTGCGTCCCTGAGGATCACCTGTCCATCATCGTATAAAGCCCGCTCTGGCAATTTGATTGGCCCGATCATTTTTTGACTGATCATAATTACTCATCAATGGATTGAGTCCAGACCGAACTTCCCGACCAAAAAATGTTGTGGGCGGAGTTCGGGCTGGCATCCAGGCTAACTTCTAATAAGAATAATCTGTGATTCTGAATGGCATTATCCACACCAGCATGTACTGGTGCAAGCTACCAGTAGCTTGTGGCCTGATTGGTGGTAGCTCGCATAATTGAAGCGATGCACACATTTTTTCCAGACGCAGTTTGTTTGTACTTCACGGTTGTCTATGACAACTATTGACAACAAACCCACCGTAAGCTGCCATGAGACTATCTATGGTAAGCCCATTGGTGATTAAAAAAATAAAATAAATAAATAAATAAATAAAACGTGGCACAGTCAACGATGGGCCTTGTTAACAATAAACTTTAATTTCAAGTAGGGGGCCACAAGCTGCGAGTTTAAAAACAACGGCTTAAAGAGTACAAAAAAAAAAATAGATTATGACAATATGGTTTAGGAAAATAACAAAGGAATTAGTAACTATAGAAAAAAAATTGTTTTCCATAGCTTAATGTAAATATTTTTTTTAAAAACACAGCATTTCTAAGCTCATCAACGGTTTATGGCGGAGTGTCACCTGTCAATGACAGTCTAAGTGGAATTTATGTATTTGTTTGTTGAGAATATTAGCTTTGAAAGACAAACTTCCCATAATAGAACAGCTGCAAGTACAAATGTGTTCTTACGTAACATAACAGAATAATGCTTAATCTTCAGGCATGCACAAACACAAACTTCTTATAGAAAAATAGAAATCTTGCAAAAACAAAACAAAAAACAAGCAGGTTGTTGTGGTCAAACGTCTCCGTCTTCTGTATCACCCTGAGGCACTCCTCTGATTCTCGTTTCCCACTCTCAAGAGATCCTTCTGGGTTTCTGCCCTTTGACCTGCCATGTCATCAACAACAAGCCTAACACATTTCCAGCTCTTTCATAACAACTTGTAACATGAGCTGAAGTGTCTGTGTACAGAAGAGTACCAACCAGCTTTTCTGAAGCTTGTTCTAGACACGTCTTATTCTAATTTCTCCTTCATGCGGGTGTGAGGATGGAACAACAAATATAGGAGTTAGCCACGCAAAATGCCTTTTGTTACTGAAATGCCATCCAAATCCCTCTGCACAGGCTTGGGGTCTAATTGGGTTTAAAACTTTTAGGGCAAGTGGGTTCGGTTTCATACTGGATTAGATCACAGAGCTTACATGGCCGTGTTAAGCCTTTGTAATATGAATGTTCTGGTACTCTCTGTTTGCCCTGCGAAAGGACAAGGTTGGGGTCGACGCGTATCACAGGTGCAAATCCAAGCTCTCCCAGAGAGTGTCTTTAAATACAACAGTTATGCTGCCATCTATGCATCTTTCTGTTTTATTTTTGGTCAGTGATTATTCAGCTCTCTCCCTTCCATTTAACTTGGAGGGAATTTACAGAAATTTCAGCCAAAAAAGTTCAAAAATGTTAATGTGGTGAAGTGACAGTGGTTGGAAGGTATCATACTAAAAGGCATAGGCCTAGTTCACACAAAAGTGAAAATTCTGTCATAATTTACTCACCATGTCATTGAAAAACTATATGGCATTCTTTCAAACTGGGTACACAAAATATATTTTGAAAAACAAAACAATCTGTTCAATGTTGTTTTGGATCCCATTGACTGTAATTGTATGGGCAAAAACATCAAATACCTTGGTGTGTGTTCCACAGCTTAAAGAAAGTAATGCATATTTTGAACATTAGAATGAGTAAATAAAGAATTTTCATTTTTAATATGAAATTAACTATTCCCCTATGGTACATTAATACTTATTACAGGACTATACTGGATGTGATCAATGGAATTGTATAGTAGTTTTTTGACTTTATTTACTGGTATGTTATCAATGTCCAGTGTGTCTAACTGAATGCCTCTCTATCTGTAGTATACAAATCACCTGAATATGAATCTTTGGGCTTTGATCTGACTGTGGAACGGCTGGTCTCCATTGGCTACCCACAGGAACTGCTCGGTTTTGTTTACGACCCCACTTTTCCTACAAGGTAATGAACTCCCCTTAGCAGACCATATTTGGAAAAGTTATCAGTACCAAGACTATCTTGTGATATTGTATTCATTGGATAATGAGCACATCTAACCCATTATTGTACTTTTTTACAGAGGTCTCGTGTTTGACACCATGTATGGCAACCTCCTAAAGGTTGATGCTTACGGAAACATCCTGGTCTGTGCCCATGGCTTTAACTTCCTGCGAGGGTGAGTAATCCTGGCCCCCAATGGATGGGCTTGGTTACAGATCTCTGTTGAAGCCTGTGGAGTATGTGCTCAAAATGTTTCTGTGTCCCATGCCAGCCCTGACATCCGAGAGCTATATTCAAACAAGTTTATCCAGCGGGATGACACGGAACGCTTCTACATCCTCAACACACTTTTTAACCTTCCAGGTAGGCACCCCATCACTGTCCCAAATACCTCTGTCACTTGCTGCCATTTAGAGACACATCAGGTGTCTTTTTGACCTTTTAATACGTGTGTGTGTGTGTGTGAGGAGTGTGTATTTGAAATTCCTCAGTTAAAAAGTGTTTGAAAAGTCTGATCTTTGTTCTGACTGACTAACTGCTGCCAAATTCTATATAATAATAAGGAACAGGTTCTACTGTATTTGTGTGCAGTTATTTTCTCTGGAAATTTGCTGTACAGTAATTACAGAGTGAGTACAATGTGATTTATACTTATCAAAATGCAAGCTTGGTTTATATTTTAGAGTTGCAATTGTAACACAAGACTTTGTTACATTTAAAGCAGGTGATTGTTATTTGAACTAGTAAAATTCATTTTTACAGGTTATTTTATAATAAACCAAGCAAAGTTACTACTGAACTTAATTTAGTTATCATTAAGCACCATGAGACATATGGAAAAGCAGCTTTGTTGTTTTGTTTGGGAAAAAAAAGAATAAGACATTTTTGACAAACACCTTTTTACTTGCAATATGCATACACAATTTTCAAAGATGCAAACCATTTTTGTTGCATTTAAAAAGCACTTTGAAAATAAAAATTATTCAGTTTTGTCTAAATATAAACTACGAGGGCCTAAAAATAACACTCGGCAAGCGCCAAATGCAAGTAAAAATCGACGACTTTTTCTATTCATTCTAACAATGCCTGAGATTGCGATATTCCTTAGCCTGATTATCAAATCACAAAGCCTGCATTGTAATTATAAAAACTATAAATCGTGTATAATGTGTATGAAATCGCGTATAATGTATTTGAAATTGCAACGTGCCAAACATCTTCCTAAGTTTGTAACGAGAGTGGTTTATGTATCTGTTGTCAACAAAAGATAAGCAGTTCAAAAGAGAAGTTTCCCTGCGGTTTCCTCTCTCAGGGAACTCAGTGCTGCTTCAGTTGTTGACCCGCAGAACTCGATGTCTCAAGCACTTGTGAAATCATGACAGTCTTATTGGTTGATGGCAGTACGATTAAGTTACATTGAGTGCCCGAGCGTATAAAAAGGTGTCTGCATTACAGGTTGTCAGCTTTGTTGTCTTCAGGAAGCACTTTGTTTGTATGTGCATGTAAAGCTAGGAGTCCATCACAGCGCGTTCGATGCATTCAAGGTCCATTCTTACTTGACTGTCTCTCAGGGGGATAAAATCAAGCTTCTGAATGGAACGCATTCAGCTTTCGAGGGAGTTCGATGCACTCATCGAACGCAGTTGGAAGATCTGTTCTAGCTTGACTCTTTCTCGGGATGAGAATCAAGCATTTGCACAGAGCGCGTAAGGCTCTCGATGGAGCATTCGCAGTGGGAAGCTCCTCCCTTGCTTGACTCTTTCTTTAGGGATGAGAATCGAGCACGTTGAGGTTCTTGGGGATTTTAGGCAGAATGTGGAAGGAGTATTTCCCTTCTTTGGGCTTTTCTCACTAGCTCTATTGCTCTCATGCTGAAACAGGAATTACACTTGAGGCGTGGCATCTTCTGATCTGCTATTTGAGTGGGTAGAGCTTGAGATGAGTGTTCCCCTTTCTCTTGCTCTTCTCCTGACTCATTTTTGGATTTGGATTTGGTCACTGACATGCTCGGATTGGAAAACATTATAGAAAGACTCCTCACAGAGATTCACGTTTTGGTTAATTGTAAGATCCTTTTTGTTTAAACTCAAACAGACGTTTATTGATCTCTTCAAACCCACCGGACTCCATTGACAAAAACAGTATCTTTACCTTGCACACCATCATAAAACAAACTAAATAGAAACAAAATAAAACTCACCAAAAACCATTTTGTTTTGTTTTTTCCACTATTCCAACAACCATGGACTCGTTCATCGTTCGAGCAGTGAGGTGAAGCATGGGGTAGACATCTAACTCTGTAATGATGTTTTCGACCAGAAATTACTGAGTGAGGGAAGAGATTGCAATGTTCGTTGGCTAAATTTGCTGTTTTATTACACACCAAAAACAATGTACACATATACTTGTTTTCCAAAGATGGCTCCTGCCTGTATACACAAAGTGGACTGTCTTTATACAATATCTTCTTATTAAACGGTCTGTACACTTACAAAGTTCTCAATGTTTTGTTTTGCATGTAGGGACCCTCGTTATGTTACTGTGTTAGTGTTGGGCTATTTTGAGCCTCGTTAGTGGTATTAACTCGTGATTTCTTTTGACTTATTAAATGCCCCCATGTACTAGCGTTATAAGCTAAACAGTTTTTAAAGATACAACTCTTTACTTTCGATTATCATCACAAATCTCAGATAACGGTCGACTAGGTACAATGTGTTATTAGACCAAAAGTTCATTTTGCGCCAGAGTTCTCTTTTGTTCATGGTTAAATTTAACCTTTGTTCATTTAACCATTTGTTCATGGTTAAGTTGTTCATGCTTAAATTTGAGAACAAATTTCACACTCTCTGTCTTTCTATATCTTTTACTCTCTCTCTCTCTCTCTGCATAGAAACCTACCTCTTAGCCTGCCTGGTTGACTTCTTCTCAAACTGTGACCGATATTCCAGGTAGGAGTTCCAGTAACTATGATTCTATTACTCTGTTGCCATGGACACTGCATACAGCCATACCAGTGATTGATAATCAGTATCATTTACTGTGGGTGAGGTCTATTTGACGCTCTTTATTAGTCCACCAGAAAGCACGTCACAACTTGATAAGACAATCTTAAAACAATTTTACAACTATGCTATAAAACAGGATGACACAAGCAGATTGTTGTCTGATTCAACTATGGTTCATGTTCATGCATGAAATCATTCATCATCAGTTTACTGTAACTTGCTAATAACTAATCACAGTGCATGTAAAGTAGGCCAAATAGAATTATAAAATTTAAACAGCATGAAAATAACTTCATTCATGCTCTGGGGGAAAAAAAGCAGCCAGGCCTGTGTAGATAAAATCTGTTAATACGTAGTAGTCTGTGATTTGTGTTTTGGTATGGATGCATGTCCTCTGAAACACCTGTTGGTCCTTTTAGGGGGAGAGAGCTTTCCTGTTTGGCTCGGACAACCTCAAACAAGGGAAGACTGTCCCATTTAAACATGTCTGACTGTCGATAAAATGTGTCATGGCTGGCGCTCGGCATCTTACTCTGCTGTCCCTTTGTTCTTCTAAACCTTTAGTTGTGAAACAGGCTTCAAGGATGGAGACCTCTTCATGTCCTTCAAGAGCATGTTCCAAGATATCCGAGATGCTGTAGACTGGGTACATTTTAAGGTACAAATGTTCTCTGTCTTTTTTTTTCAGGTCAGGTCACGTTTATTCGTATACCACTTTATACACAGATAAAGCAAACACGTATCAGTGATGCACACAGAGTTCAATTCTGCTGTAAAGCAACTCTAAAAAGACAATTATGTTAGTTCGGTTCAAGAACTGTCTAAAGACTGTGTACAGAAATGATTTGAATTCAGCTTTAAGCAGCTCTACAGAAAAGCAGTGATGTCATCGTCCAGCTCAGTTCAGTTCTTATCATCATGTCAGTGCAGTCAAATCAATAATATTGTTGAATATTAGTTGTCAGAGGAAGTCACTAAGTCAGAGAAATCTGCCAGGGTAACATTGCTGTGTACATTTAATAGCAAGCAGCTAGGATTAATAGTAAAATGAATATAAACAGCAGATGTTTATCTGAAGTGTTTTAGATGCATGTCACAAACTTGCTCTGTTGCTGATTTACTCAGGGAACATTGAAGGAGAAAACAGTGGAAAACCTGGAGAAGTATGTTGTGAAAGATGTAAGTTTGTCTGTTCATTTTTTGAAGTTTTTTTGACTGATTTGCTTTTTTGTGCTACAGTTTTTGCAAGGGAAGTGTAATTCTAAAAAAAAAAAAAAACATTTTTTTTCATTTAAAGGCAAAGTTGCCATTGCTGCTGAGCCGCATGACTGAAGTCGCAAAAGTTTTCTTAGCCACCAACAGTGACTACAAATACACAGAAGTGAGTTTTCTGATGCAAACACATTCATAAGCTCTCTTTCAGAACCTAGTGAGCTGCCTTGCTGCATACAGGCAACACAGCCACCTATGGCAGCAAGCTATCTATAAGGAAAGATTTGGAATGCTTTACATTGTCAGCTTTACTAACTGCTCAGTAACATAGCACACACAAATGTTGGGAAAAATATAACATTTTAAATGAACTTCGGCAGGGAAGACACCAGGCTATGAGGAATACACTTACAGTGTTTATTTACAATGTTATCCGCTATATAATTGTCCTAGATCACTTTTTTTTCACAATTCACAACTTTCCAAACTGTTTTATATAGTTTTTGAGTACTGAAAGATTTATGGAAAGATTTTGTCCACTAAACAATTGTTGTGTTATTAGTAAACAACAATACAAACCATTGAACACACTTTTTAGCCTATACCTTGCAGCCTCATTTTCTTTCCTGCCAAAAATTAAACATGGCACTGCCGCTACCCTCACTGAAGTCTAATAAATGTAACTATTTTTATCAGTGCCTTTTTTTGCAATCAATATTTTTATTTGGCAACGGCAATTTTGTTTTATTTTGAATGTTTCTGCCTTAGCAATTGGCAGAAACCAACTTTTACTCACAAATAGCAATCTCTCAGTAATTTCTAACCAATAAAATATTTTAAAGCTTTACATAACTAGAAAAAAAATATTTTCATTATAAAAAAGTGTAATTACTTATATATAATGTATGTGTGTATGTATATACATTACCGGTCAAGTTTTAGATCAGTAAGGTTATTTATGTTTTTAAATGAAGTCTCTTCTGCTCACCAAGGCTGCTTTATTTGATGGAAAAAAAAAGACAAACAGTAATATTGTGAAATATTATGACAATTTAAAATGACTGTTTTCTATTTTAATATATTTTAAAATGTAATTTGAAAGCTGAATTTTCGACATCATTACTGTTGCTGATTGCACATCAGTTTTCAGTGTCACATGATCCTTCAGAAATCATTCTAATATGCTGATTTTATGCTCAAAAAAAACATAAATTATTATTTTCAATGTTGAAAACAGTCGTGTACCGTTTCCCCCCCCCCCCCAAAATTCTATGATGAATAGAAAGTTCAAAAGAACAGCAATTTATTTAAAATATAATCTTTTCTAACATTATAAATGTCTTTACTGTAACTTTTGGTCAATTTAACTCACCCTTGATGAATAGTTTTCTAATTTCTTTCCCCCCCAAATAAATAAATAAATATATATATATATATATATACACTCACTATATATATATATATATATATATATATATATACACTACACCGGTCAAAAGTTTTAGATCGGTACGATTTTTTACGTTTTTAAAAGAAGTCTCTTCTGCTCACCAAGGCTGCTTTATTTGATAAAAAAGTAATTTTGTGAAATATTATTACAATTTAAAATAAAAGTCAAAAGTTACAGTAAAGACATTTATAATGTTAGAAAAGATTATATTTTAAATAAATGCTGTTCTTTTGAACTTTATTCATCATAGAATTTTGGGGGAAAAAATGGTACACGACTGTTTTCAACATTGAAAATAATAATTTATGTTTTTTGAGCATAAAATCAGCATATTAGAATGATTTCTGAAGGATCATGCGACACTGAAAACTGATGTGTAATCAGCAACAGTAATGATATTGAAAATTCAGCTTTTAAATTACATTTTAAAATATTATGACAATTTAAAATGACTGTTTTCTATTTTAATATATTTCACAATATTACTGTTTGTAATTTTTTTCATCAAATAAAGCAGCCTTGGTGAACAGAAGAGATTTAAAAACAAAAAATCTTACTGATCTAAAACTTTTGACCGGTAAAGAGTAAAGTAAAGTACTTTAAAAACTCAGGATTTTCCAAGACTGTGAGAACCCTGGTTCAAATGACAGTTGTTGAGGGAATTAATTAAAAAAGCTTTTCAAAAGCTTTGCCTCAGAACTGTGCCTCTGTATGCAGCTCTTTAGGTTTTGGATCAGAGCAACAGACAACCACACATGCAACTGGTTTGTTTCATATCTGCCTCATGAAGCTATTTGTTTAAGCCATCATCATCTTTTAACAAACCCAGCTTTTGTTTTGATTTGTTTTACAGAAAATTATGACATACTTGTTTGACTTCCCCCATGGCCCAAAGGTATTTTCAACCTCTCTATGAACTTTTCTAAAGAAATTTCTGCCATATATTTTTGTACATAGAAATGTTTTTTTTTTTTTTTTTTTTGTAGCATGGCACTCCACACCGTCCTTGGCAGTCGTACTTTGACCTCATCCTAGTAGATGCTCGAAAGCCTTTATTTTTTGGAGAGGGAACGGTTCTGAGACAGGTGGATACGGTGAGTAAATAACAAAACCCCTAAAAAAACAGAAGCTAACTTTTCAAGTCCGCACGTGTAGAATCTCGCTAGAGACGCCAATCTACTTCAATTGAAACCAAAACAAGCCAATGCACAATTGGCGTGCAATCATTTGCATTAGCTGTGCAGCCTCACAGCACGGGTATTTAACGAGCAGCTTTGTAGTTTTTTGCTGAGGAGCTAAGACTGAAAAAGTTGGCCAATAGGAATCGTGACCAAAGCGCCACAGCCGCTGCACTCCATCCAGCGCCCCATGCAAGCCCCATGCAGACACCTTTTTGTCTGGAAGGACGATAGGAGGAGGCTTACTCAGAGTGAGTCTGACACTGTTGTTCCGTGATAACCCATACAGTAATATATTGGATAACACTGGGAAAGAGTGCCTTTTCTGCAGTATTTAGAAAGGAGAACGATGCAGAAGCCTCTTCTTCAAAGAGTTATGTGGAAAATACATATGCACTAACCTGAAGGTTGTACTGCATATGGATAATGGGAGACTTAGCCCAAGGGAAAACACAGGCTTCCGTCTTAGGAGCAGCCGTGGAAAATATACACATATGGGATCCCTGTAGGGTCACACATACGGAACCCAACCCAAATCCGGCTCTCAAGTATTCAGCAGATAAAGGCCTGGAACCAGACGCTCTGCCATGTCCAGGCCGAGGGGTTTTGGAAGACTCGACAGGTTTACTACCTTGAAGGAACCTTGGGCACATAGCACGACTCGTCAACCAAAAATGCATGCAGGTCTCCTACCCTCTTAACAGAGGCCAATGCAACCAGTAGCAAAGTCTTCATGGAGAGAAGCTTTAAGTCTACTAATTTCAGAGGTTCAAAGGGAGCATCCTGAAGTGGTCGAAGCACCAGGGAAAGGTCCCAAGAGGGTATGGAGTGGGGTCGAGGAGGATTTAATCGCCTCGCTCCCCTAAGAAACCTGACGACCAGGTCATGCTTTCCAACTGTTTTGCCATCTATGTGGTCGTGATATGCTGAAATAGCAGCAGCATGTACTTTGAGGGTGGAGGGAGACAGCCTTCGCTCCAACCCTTGCTGCAAGAAGGAAAGCACAGACCTTATTGGACATCTTCGGGGGTCTTCTTGGTGAGAACACCACTCGACAAACAGGTTCTACTTCAGGGCGTAAACACGTTTCGTGGATGGTGCCCATGCTGAAGTGATGGTGTTAAATACCTTCTGGAGGCAAGTCACCTAGAACCTCCGTGTCCCTTCCAGGGTGCCATAAGGTGCCCCTTTTCTGAGTCAGAAGATCCTTCCTCAGAGTAATGGGCCAGGGAGGGACTGTCACAAGGAACATGAGTTCTGGGAACCAAGTCCAGGTGGGGCAATAGGGAGCCAACAGAAGGACCTGGTCCCCATCCTCCCTGACTTTGCACAGTGTCTGCGCAAGTAGGCTTACTGGGGGAAATGCATATTTGCGAAGGCCCCGGGGCCAGCTGTGTGCCAGTGCGTCCGTGCCTAGTGTTCCCTCGGTCAGGGAGTAAAACAGTTGGCAGTGGGAGGTCTCTGAGGAGGAAAGCAGGTCTACCTGAGCCTCTCCAAACTCTCTCCAGATGAGCGCGATATGTGAACAGGCCTAAGGCGAGCTACCACCACCAAATCAGGCCACAGCTACTGATAGCTCGCGAGCGACGTGTTGGATACCCCTGCTCTAAAACAGTGTGAGAATAATCATTTTGAGCTTGTAATATGTGTTGTGTCTGAACACGTTCAATGAACGATAGTTAATGAACTCGTTCATATTTTGGGCGAACGTGAACTGAACGTGAACTGAACTGTATTACTGCCCTACAGTGAACTCGTTCATTCTAGTGTCTGTGAACCGAGGAGCGAGGAAGCGTCGTAAGTCCATTTAAAAGGGTTTTATGAGGGTGATGAGGATGGGAAAATCTTACATGTCTGTGCAAACTTTGCCCGTCGATAAAATGATTGTTATCTGTGGTTGTATATGGGCTGTGGCAATAATAATAGCCTAAAAATAAAAAAGAAGCTCGCAGCAACATATGGAAAAAAAGAACTATGAACTAGTTCATTTTTGAAATATGAACTGAACTAGTTCATTTTAAAATTTGTGAACTGAACTTTAAACTAGTTCATGTAATGAACTTGGTCCAACAGGTTGATAAGAAGGTTTGCTTTGATATGTGCAAAGTCAGTAATTTGCCTGAGACACTATACATGTGTAGAAAGAATTATTTGTATTTCAAAAGCAATAATTGTTTTTCTAAGTATAATAAAAGGAAATGTGCCTTCCGAAAAAAGAAAAAAAAACATTCAATATAATAGTGTTGTATAAAGAAAATAAAAAGCAAATATGACTATCACAAAGATGTTGTGTATAAGATAAAGACAAAGAAAGTTTGTAAAATTAACTTCAACTGTCAGAAGGACAGCTCATGAAGAACCAATCATGTACAGAAAGGAATGTTCAAATTCAGAGGAACAGTTCAGAAGAAACGTTAATAATTTTGGAATACTTAAATACAATTTTTTTTTTTGAATACTTGATGCGGCCCGGCCTGACCAGCACGTCCCTGCCCTGTAGCGGCCTTTTCAAGTGGCTCAGAGCGAGATGTACTGCTAGCAACTCGAGGCAATTGATGTGCAAATGCAATGTCCATACCCCTGGCACTGCATGCCCATTGTACATGGCACCCCAGTCAGACTCCTGCCCCCAGGAACAAGAGGTCTGACCACGGGCTGAAGGTCTGGCGGCATGCCCGTGTGATTGCCGAGACTCGACAATCTCGAGACTCGGGCGTGAAGCCAGTGCTGAAGTGGTCTCATATGAAGCAGGCCGGGTGGGGTTACCGCTGCTGCCGCTGCCATATGCCCCTGGAGCCTCTGAAAGAATTTCAGTGGGACCACTGTCCTGCCTTTGAACACGTTCAAGTAGTTCAGCACCGACTGAGCGAATCGAACTCCATACTGAGATGAGAGATCCTCTGCATAGGGGAGAGTTTGTTCTTTTCCCAGTTTACCTGAAGAACCAGCTGACTTTGGATTTTGGGTGAATTTTCTCCCCCACTGCTCTCCGTGCCCTCTTCGGACTCAGAGATGGTAAAAACTGCTCTTTTTTTGAGAATGTGGGTACTGATGGTTTTAAGGCCAGCAGTGGAACACAAACAAAGTATTTTCCACCCAGCCCTCTTCCAGGGGAGGGAGCGATGCGGTCATCGTCTCCTGGAGATCAGTCCCTTCCATCTCCGGGTTGCATGTCCTTGGGCCGCTTACCCCTGGCTTTGCCGCCCTTCTTGGTGGGGGCCTGGACGGGTGGGGCGGCCTGCCTGCGACTGGCTTCACAACGTCGTTTAGATGGAGACTGCTGCTGCTGTGCGGCAGGATGTGCTTGATGGCCTTAGTCTGCTTCTGTACAGCCGAGAACTGCTGGGCAAAGTTCTCCACTGCGTCGCCGAAGAGGTCGGTCATTTACTCTGGGAAGTTAATGAACCGGAGCTTGCCGGTCTCCTGCATGTCGGCCAGACCCAGCCAGAGATGGTGTTCTTGGACCACTACTGTGGACATCACACAACCCACTGACCTCACGGTAACCTTTGGCATACAAAGCGCAAGGTCTGTTGCAGCGTGAAGTTCCTGGATAACTTGTGGGTTGTGACCACCCTCATGTTGGTCCTTCAGTGCCTTGGCCTGATGGACCTGCAGCAACGCCATAGTGTGCATGGCAGAGGCAGCTTCCCCACAGGCCTTGTAAGCCTTGCTGGTTAAATCCGATGAGTACTTGCAGGCCCGGGAAGGAAGACACAGTTCTCCACGTCAAGTGTTGTTAGGGCACAGATGCATTCCAACGGCCCGTTCCACTGGCGGGATATGCGTAGATGGTTCACTGATGAGCTAAACAGGTTTTATCATAGTTTTTGAAACTACGCTAAAACCATCATCCATTGTCATACATTGTGATTTCTGTTTTTTTTTTTTTTATGTCTCTCACAGTGGACATTTCAGACCCCTCCATGATTTCTAAGTGGGATAACTTACAAAATAGCAGGGTGTTCAAATACTTATTTTCCTCACTGTAGGTACATCTGATTTATGATTAAGCATTGTAATGTGACTGACTGTGCTGATGTCTGCTTAGAAGTTTTAGCTTATTTCAAAGCTTGTTTGTCTTATTTTAAGTCATCTTTGAAGTGTGTTGAGGCCCCCTAGTGGGCCCAAGCACTCTTATTTATAATCACTGAAGTACATTGAATGAAAATTCAGACAGTTTGGACATCTAAATATTAATCGGTCTGTTCTCTATCCCAGACCACAGGGCGGCTGAAAATAGGAACATACACTGGACCATTACAACATGGCATTGTTTACTCTGGAGGTACTGGAAATTCTTGGATAAAGATGCAAACAACACACTCACAGATGTATTTCCCTGAAAGCCCTGAAACATATTCCGCTGATGACTAACATTTAGATCACAAGTCTATTACAGATCAACACTCTATCACATGATTTTTTTTAACTGCATGTGTAGTCACTTAGTTTAGTAATGTAATACACTTTCATGTGTTGACATTAGTTTACATGAAAAAATGCTTCTGAAGCATTTACAGTATTCATCTTAGGTAATGTTAATTTTAACATTTACCAATACATTATAAAATCAGAAGTTTTATTTGTTAATGGTATTTAATGGATCTGAGCATAACTAACAATGAAAAGGGTGTGTTTTTTAACTTTAATATTAAAAATATTAATAAATACTGAACAAATATGCATGTATTGCTAATTGTTAATTAATCATTGTGTGTTAATGTTAGTTAAGACATTAACTAATGTTAGCTAATGGCTCTTTCAGACTGCACGATTTTCAAAGTAGTCAGGTCGCTGCTCTTTTCACACTGCATGACTATCTTGGCCAGCATTCAGTCGCTGCTGTGTTCACACTGGACGATGGATCGGCGACAGAAGGTTTCACACTGCATGACTTTAGAAAAATCGCCGACAGACTCTGTCTAGCACGCTGCACGCAAACTACATTTCACAACAAACACGCGTGAGATATGAAAAGGAAACAACGCGCGACACCACACGTGCAAGACCGGAGTTCTCACGTGAGACTTTTTTTTCGACCCGGTTGTGGTACAGCTGGTGAAACAAACACGAGTGCTCCTGCCAAATTTCTACTAATTTTTCTTCCATTTATTGTGTCCAAATAGACCCAGAAGAAGCTTTTTTTGTTGAAACAATGCCATATCATGTTGATATGTGATCTATAACTCCTCCCCGAACTCCCTGCTGCTCTGTATCTTGCTCTCTCACTGGCTGCCGGTGATCGCCGATGTAGTTTTCAGTCAAAACACTTTTCACACAGCAGGATTTTGAATCGCCGACAGGTCCAGATATTTAGCATGCCAAATATCTCACGGGCGTCGGCGACTCGTCGGTGATTCTCTCAGTTCGCGTCTTTGTTCATTCACACTGCGTGATTGTCACTCGCGTGAACGAGCGCCGATTTGCCTGTGATTTCGGGCATTTGTCGGCGATTTCTCAAAACCTGTCGGCGAGCCAAAATCGTGGCTAAAATCATGCAGTCTGAACTCGGCATAATAGGGACTTGGTGTGAAGAGTTATCCTTAGTTCTGATTCACTGAAGGCAAAACCTGTGAGAGCATTGATTGGCTGAGATATTCATGATAAAGTCATATTGAGATTATTTTGGCAAATATAGTGTTTGTGGTTTAAATTGTGCTATGACATGTATATGTATATATATATATATATATATATATTAAAAAAACATCTCATATCGCCATTTTCTAGGTTATCAAGGCTGAAATAAGGCAAAAAATCACAATGGAACAGCAACTCACATGTTCAACATATTAGAATGAAATAATTTCAAATTGATTCATTGTTCAACCTTTTTCTTACCATTGAATATGCTATATAAATTATATATGTAACACTTTATAATTAGGATCATCATTAGGTCATGGTCACTTTTATTTGTATAGCACCTTAAAAGGATACTCCACCATTTTTTCTTATTAAACTATGTTATTCCCTTAACTAAGTTGAGTTGATACATACCTCTCTCGTCTCAGTGCGTGCACTCAATCGCTCCGGCGCGCGAGACACTTTGATCGCACTTAACTAGCCCAGTTCATTCAATAGGGGCCAAGCAGAGAAGCGACCAAACATTTTCCTTATTTAAATACAGTTACACGAGTAATGCAACTCGACCAAAAATGGTGACACAAAATAAAATGTCGCGCTTTTCTAAGCGTGTAAAGTGTATAACTATAATGTATGGCGGAATACCAAAGCAAATGATTGGGAAAACTTTGACTCTTTGCATATATATCTGGACTCGGCACAGTAATAGCATCACTCTGGAGAGGGAGACGACTTTTCACGAGTGATATTACTACGTCAAGTTGAAGTGCTCCCAAACACTTGCTGTGGTATTCCGCCATACATTATAGTTATCCACTTTACACGCTTAGAAAAGTGTAACGTTTTATTTTGTGTCACCATTTTTGGTCGAGTTACACTACTCGTGTAATTGTATTTAAATAGGGAAAACGTGGAGGTGTTTGGTCGCTTCTCTGCTTGGCCCCTATTGAATGAACTGGGCTAGTTAAGTGCGATCAAAGTGTCTCGCGCGCCGGAACGATTGAGTGCACGCACTGAGACGATAGAGGTATGTATCAACTCATTTTAGTTAAGGGAATAACATAGATTAATATGAAAAAATGGAGGAGTATCCCTTTAAAACAGCATTACTTCTGACCAAGGTGCTTCACAGAAACTCAATAAAAACAAATGTCCTAAAAATTACATATAAAACTTTGACTCACTAAGGCTACATATCCACAGTAACGAATAGGTCTAAGAGAAAAGATGCTCACTTGAATACATGTAAAGAAGAAGCTAACCTAAAAGATTGAGGTAACGAATTCCACAGCCTCTGACCAAAAACGGAGAAGGCTCTATCACCTTTAGATTTCAAGTGCGAGTGTGAGATAGTTAATAATTTGTCAGAGGATGATCTAAGAGTTCTTGGTGGAGAGTATGGACAAATAAGGTCTGAGATTTAAACTGTAGCAAGACCATGCAAGGCTTTAAATACAAAATTTAAAACCGTGTACTCAATTCTGTACTTGGCTGGTAACCAATGCAAATGTGGTAGTAGAAGTAGGGGTGATATGCTCACGTTTTTTCATCCCCATTAAGCATTTTGTACTTGTTGCCAGTGCATTAGTGAAAACTGGTTGATACCAGCATACAAAGCGGTGCAATAATCCAGCCTTGTTGAGATGAAAGCATGAATGACTGTCTCTAGGTCGGCAAAAAATAAAATAGATTTCAATTTCCGCAAACTCCTGAGCTGGAAAAAACTGCCTCTGACAACAGAGTTTATTTGCTTGTCGAATTTTGACCTGTTATAATTGTAATGTTAACAGTTTTTTTACACGAGTGCGAATATTGGCTTTCAGAGGTCCTAAATTAGAAGTCAGGTCATCTACCAAATGGGGGGCACCAAATAAAATAATTTTCTCCAGTTAAATGAAAATAAGACTGAAGTTTTCATAAATATGATAAGGAACCTGATGAGATTAAAAAATGTATCGAAGAGGGAGCATATATAATGAAAATAAAATCGGTCCCAAAATGGAGCCTTGAGGTACTCCCCCCGTAACAGGAACAGACAGTGAATCAAAGCCCCAGAGAAGCTCCTCTCAGAGAAATAGGATTCAAACCACTTTAGATCTGAATCACATTAATTACTAGGTAATCATTAGTTACAAGTGTATTCGTGCTTAACTAATGCTTATTTGTGTACAAGTTAATCATTAATTATCGCTTAACTAATGCATTATTCTGGACACTTAAAATAAATTGTTACCATTATATGTGAAAATGTCACTCTATTTTAAAAATGTATGTTGTCATCTCTGCCCAGGTTCCTCTGACACTGTGTGTGATTTACTTGGAGTGAAAGGGAAGGATATTGTGTACATTGGGGATCATATTTTTGGAGATATTCTTAAGTCCAAAAAGCGACAGGGTTGGCGGACGTTCCTGGTGATTCCTGAATTGGCGCAGGAGCTGCACGTGTGGACAGACAAAAGCTGTGAGTGTCGCCATATTTGAGTAAAGTCAGCCTGTTTGACCTGTTTCACAAAACACGTAAGCAGCACACTTTGGGGTGCCCATTATTAATAGGTAACAGCATGGCTGGCATAAACATATTGGCGATGAATAGCTGCAAGTACAGTTTTGGTGCTGAACTACATATCCCATGTAAACCTAACTTTTGCAATATAGGATTTAGAGCAGTTATAGCTATATATTTGGATTTGGGTTCCAATTCATGAAGATTCACTACCATTTTGATGCAAATGTAATCCCTCTGTATATTTGACTATCAAATCTGTAATAATTATGTTATGATCATTACTACCATTAATTACGTAGTGTGGTAACCTAGAAACTACTTAATGTTTTGCATACATTTTTTTGCAGCAGTTCTATTACAAAACAAACAATGTCATGACACCGACCTTCTTGTGAGAAACTCAAAGAAATGAATGCTCAGAATGAGAAAGACTAAAACGAGTGTCAGATAATATGTTAAGGCTTGAAAGGCTAAGGAAGAGATGTGAAACCCACTCATGCAAGGGTTCTGCTCTCTCATTTACAGCTCTGTTCGAGGAACTGCAGGGCTTGGACATTTTCTTGGCAGAACTATACAAGTGAGTAAAGCTGCCTCTGTTCCCTCAACACGTGTGTGTGTGTGTGTAGGGGGGGATCATGGGGACAAAATGTTCCCACAAAGATGGCAATATCCTAAATCCTTGTCCTTGTGGAGAAATGTTTTAGTCCCTATGAGGAAAGCAGCTTATAAATCATAATAAAATATGTGAAATGTAGAAAAAGTTTTCTGTTATTGGTTGGTTTTGGAGTAGGTTTAAGGTTAGGGGATAGAATATTCAGTTTGTCTGGTATAAAATCATTTTATATATGAAGAGCTCTTTTCCAAAAAGCGATAAACGCCATTTAAAAAAAAATGAGTTTGTCGTGTCATTCTGCTGTGGACAGAACCCTTTCACTGCTCCATCAACGTTTCATGCCAATTCGCTATATTTCCTTGTTTAAAATGTACTGCAAGATACAGTTTCTTTCCAAGCCGCGATAAGCGCCAGCCCTGTTTTTAGCCTAAACACGATAAATCCTCAAATTCAATGAGCGCTCTACGCAATCCAGCACGGCGGCACTCTGAACAGAGGTATATTATGTTCATTTATTCCTCAAAATGAGTCCTAGTTTTCTAGTCGACTAGTAGTAGATCATTTAAGCCATTTGTATTATCAGTAATCACATATATTGATTTAACTAAATGGGAGAGAAACCATATTCGTTTTTAATTGCCTATTCCGCATTTCAACGTATGCATAAAGCTTGCCACAAAGAACCGGCAAAAAGTAACGATTATGCATGAAACATTTGAATTGTTTATTAATAAACTAGTGTTTTCTGTCAGTGTCAGCAACAAAGATAAAGTTGATGATGCTTACTCGCCATCTTCGCAGTGAACGCGCATAGGCCTATAGAAACGCATACTTCGAATTAGCCTACATACGCAGAGAGTTGCCAATTTATTTTAGTTTTTAATTGTTTTGTTTAAAAGTAGATATTTAAAGCTTTCTGTAGCTTAGTTCTCAGGCCTGTGTGAGGCAAGCATCGCGGTGTTTCGGTTCATATTATGAGACGCGCTCCGGTTCACCTGCGCGCCTCTGTGTCCTGATTATATTGTCTGATATTTACTTCTAATGTATTAATCCAGTCAATTTGTCGATGAAACATTTATTAAAATGAAGATACAATTTATATGAAACGAAATTTACAAGCTTTCTACAAAACAAAACTTAATAAGTGGTCAAAATCATGTCTGACGCACTCCAAATATTTTCCGGTATTGGGCAGCTTTTGAATTTTGATCCTATCTTACTCATCTCATGCGGTTCCCTTTTCATAGCCTACTCAACATAGATGAAATAATAAAAATAAGTAATGTAATATTATTAAAAACAAATGTGAAACGTATATTTTATGTTTATTTATTTATTTATTTATTTTTTACTTATATTTAAGCGTCATGCTGCTCCGCTTTGCTCACATGTTATGTAGCCTGTGTGTGTGTGTGCATGTGCTGGAGGGGTGCCCATCCCTTTTTTGAATATCGTTATCATATATTGATCATTTTTAATAATTCGTTTTTTTTCATGCATATGTTGAAATTGGTACTATTTGTTTGAGGTTTGACTCTTTACTAAAAATGACTTTACTAAAAATGATACAAAAAATGGATGGATTTATAGCGTTTTGGAAAAAAATAAAATTAACTTTTAAATTATCATTAACAATATTGTTGTTTGATTTAATAATTATTGTTCAAAATGTTCAGACTGAACCAATAAAACATTTAAACAGGATAATTTGAATATTCACAAAATGTGTGGGTCTAGGTAAAAAATGTAGTTTTCCTGAAAACTATTGAAATGGATTTATAGCGTTTTGGAAAAGAGCTCTTCATATATATATATATATATATATAAAAAATCACCTATATAATGTCCTCATAATGATAGGTGTATGTGTGTGTGTGATCGGGTGAGTGTATATGTGTCAGGAATGTGCAAAATTCAGAATGTAAAATGGCCATTTTTTGGTGGTGCACATGATGGTGCCTGGAAGTGGAACTGACTGAATTGCAATTCTCAAAAAATCAACAGAAAAATTACATTAGCCCCAACAAAATCAACAAATCAGCCATTAATTTTAATTTTAATTGTACATTTCAGCATCACAAAATATCGATCACATTGCTTTTACATCACTTTTATGAAAATAAAATGTTGACATTTGGATCTATTGAAGGCGATCACGCCATTTCTGAATTATTGTAATTGTGAGATTCCTACATAAGTGCTTTTAATTACAAATTACTAACTCTGAATTTTCTGAGCTCTGACTTGTACCGCTTCATCAGTAAAATGTAATCAAGTGGTTAATCCTAATAATATTTCTGTTTAATTCCTCTAATGGTCTTTTGTTGCTATTTGATTAAGGCCAGATTAATCTGAATAAAATGCATACAAAACAGTTTAATGTTGCATAGTTTGATAACTAATGACTAATGTCCTGTTAAATAAACAAATAAAAACTGAATTAAAAGTTTATCAATAAGGCATTTGCATAAAAACTATTGTTGTATTGTAGTTTTGTCTGTTGATTGCTCAAAATATACATAATTAAATTAAATTAAATTTTGGCCATTGAAATTCATAATTCCAAGTTCGGGTTGCCTATCCAGGTTGACATTATGCAACGCATTCTCATCTCAAAGCGCCATATACAACGCTTTTGCAAAAGCGTAAATATCCAACGCACATGGCACCCTTTAACGTCTAATGAGACGCTTCGGTTATGGTTAAGTTTAGGTATGGTGTAGGGTAAGGGTTAGACCACTAGGGGGTGCCTTCTGCCCAAATATATCTGCGTCTCATTTGACGTTAAAGGGTGCCATGTGCGTTGGATATTTACGCTTTTGCAAAAGCGTCATATATGGCGCTTTGGGATGAGAACGGGCTCCATTATGATAATTATACACCATAATCTCTCTCGCTGTCCTTATACAACCTTCTAGGGTCATAGGGCTGGAGCCTATCCCAGTTTCTTAGGCCAGAGGCAGAGTAAAACACCCTGTCTCTACTTTTCTTTCGCTCACATTCTTTCTTTCTGTAGGCATTTGGACAGCAGCAGCAATGAGAGGCCAGATATCAGTGCCATTCAGAAAAGAATGAAGGTACACACACCGAGTCACACACGCACATTCCACATATTTCAATTATGATCTTTACTAAATGTGAAACGGCTCAAATTTCATCTTAAAGAGCCCCTATCATAGCATTTGAAATGTTCCTATTTTTGTTTTAGGAGTTCCCAAAAACAGTTTAACATGCATGCAAGGATAAAAAACACTTTGTCTTATAATATGCATTTATTTTTAACTGATTTGCTCACCGACTCCCAAATGATTCGTACAACGATTTTTCCAAACCACTCCTTTGCGTGACGCTAATCGGCGGTGATTGGTCAGATGACAGACCCAGTCAATTATTGTTTGTTAGCATAACGCATAAACATATTGATAAAGCACTGCAGTACTACAAGACGCTTGATTCTTTATGACAACTCTAATAACAGCGACAAACATTTCACATATTTAAAAAAAATTGACATTGGAGACCTAGAAGCTGCGCTGAGCGTAACTTACACACACACGCGCACACACACATACTTATTGCGCCTTCCCTCCTCGCGCCCGACGCTACAAAACCGTTCAAAACCCATAAAAGCAACAATTATTAATAATACTTACAGGTTGTGATTCATAGGAGGAAGTTGATCCATATACACTGGGTAAGTAAGTTACTGAGCCCTCCTTCAGAAACAACTGCTTGCGAATCCACATTTGAATTCATTTATGTTTTTGAATGATTCGTAATTAAAATGATGAGAACACAATCGGGCTATACTGTTGTGGTATCGTTGCAAATATGAACTCTAACCACCGATTCTTCACATGCTCGTCCCTGGTAAATGAAAACAAAGTGGCTGAACTATCTTTGCATTGTAGAACGCAGCGTCTTCTCGACATGATGCTATGATGAAGTATTTGAATGTGTAGACTTCAAGTTTACACTTCCGTCTGCGCGCGGCCAATGACCTCTCTACGTCCCAATGTAACAGCTAATGACTCGTTTCAAAAACAATTCATTTCATAGACTCGGAGTCGACTCTCACTTTTGAAAGACAATAACTTTATATACGGTGCACTTTCAGATATAAATATTTGCAGGATGTTTTCATTCCCTTAGAGTTATATTCCACACCATTATGAACAGTCATTTTCAAAAATTCACGATGGGGCTCTTTAATATAAAGTGAGACCGTTGGATAGATACTGTAAACTAAATGTATTTAACTACTATGTACTAAGATTTAAACGACTCATTTGATTAAATGCACTCAATATGTTCAGACATGTCTTTACATTGTACTTATATTTTTAATACTGTATACCAGTAATTTCTGTAATTACATCTATTATTACACTGTTGATCACTGTTGAACCTTACACTTACCCATACCACTAAACCTGTCCCTAAATGTACCCGTATCCCACCTCAATAGCAGCAAAAGTTTTACAATACACCATGTACCTAACAATGTTTATTTATTTATTTATTTATTTTGTAAGTACATTTAAGTGCCCTAATAACTTTTAAAGAGTTTAGAAATATTATGGGTTATTTTCATGAAAAGTATCTGTGGAATGCTCTTGAGCTTAATAATTTAGACTTGTTCCTCTGTTTGCATAAACAAACAGGGAATGTGTTTACATCAATGCTTGTAATGGTAGCTTATAAGTCTTGTAAGTTTTTAATTATTCCCCATGGTAATCAACAGCCTGTCACATATGCTGTCCATAAATATTTGTATGGGATAAATTAGCTACAAGAGTAATGTTATATATTACATGTTGATTCAGTAATTCTCTCTGTGTGTCTTGGCTCATCAGAGAGTTACTCATGACATGGACATGTGCTACGGGATGATGGGAAGCCTGTTTCGCAGTGGCTCTCGGCAGACACTGTTTGCTTCTCAGGTGATGCGTTATGCTGATCTGTATGCTGCCTCTTTCATCAACCTGCTCTACTACCCCTTCAGCTACCTGTTCAGAGCCGCCCATGTTCTGGTGAGAACACACACCCATAAACATATGCTTGGATTAGTGATACAAATACCAATACAAAATAGTTTGTTGCCTTGATATAGTATTTGTCAATTAAACTTGTCCAAGGTAGGTTTTTTTGAAGTAATTATCGAAATGTAGTGTTAACACGTGCAATGTTCTATTTCTCCAGTTTACATTTACCAGATCAACTGTCTCTTCATTAATGTCTTTTGACAATGAAAAGAGTAGGGCTGTCAAATGTAGTCGTTTAGTCGACTAATCGGTCGATGCCGTCTTGGTCGACTGACATTCTTATTGGTCGACCAGTTGCATTTTTTTTTTTTTTTTTTTTACCAATAGAAGGAATTTTTCAATGATTTACTCCTTGATATTTGAAGAGTTCAGATGCAAAAGCCTCTAAATGCCATTTGAAACTTTCCTCTTTAATGATGATTTTTATCAAACTTGTATATTTAAGTTCAGTAATTTCACTTAAATAACAATTAATAGGTAATTATCATTGCCATTTAAGTGAAATTACTGAACTTAAATATACAAGCTTGATAAAAATCATCATTAAAGAAGAAAATTTCAAATGGCATTTAGAGGCTTTTGCATCTGAACTCTTCATTTATTCCTTTATAATAAGTTATTTATTACTGTATTCTAAACATAATTAGCCTATGTTTTGTCCCCAACTTTAAAATGCTTTAATTTAGGCTATTTTTGTAACTGCGCCACAGTTTAGCGCACACACATAATACACTCGGAAACCGCACCTGTGGCTGGCTGCGCTGCTGCTTCGCGCTCGGTAAGGGATGCTGTATTCATTCAGTTAGAACGCTGCTTGTTTTGGCTTTAGTCGACAAAATGTCCAGGAAATCTAAATATTTTGTCTGGCTGCATTTTAAAACTAAGACGACAAGACTGTGGAGGGAGGCGATCGCGTTGCTCCATATGAGCGCGCAAGTCGCGCGCCTACATTTGAAATCGAACTTGAGCGCACAAAAGACGTGAGCAGCCTTTTAACGGCTATATCATGCTGACTCAATAGATTGTGTTTTCTTAATGTGTTCGTTTTTATTTGTACACTTAGCCTAAATAATGCAACAAAACGAAAATAAACCTACACGCGGTCCTACAGCCTATTATTAGGATTGTTTTTAGGCTATTTGGTTTTTTTGTGTGGTGTTTTAAAACGCCTTGATCGTCAGGACGAAAGTTAAGTTGTTGGGATTTTTCATTATGTGGCAGATAGATATTTTTTGCAGCGTGTGGTGTGGTCAGGTGCGCGATTGTGACTGTTACTATAGACCTAGGACAGAGCTCTTCACTTTTTGCAGTTAAAAAATCACTTAATTTTCAAAGAATTGTATTATTATTATGGTTTTATTTATTTGTGATGTTTTTTCGTTGTTGTTTTATAAATGCTCAATGACAATTGTTTAAAAAAAATTTATTCAAAACATCACGTTTTTTTTTTTTAGTCGACTAATCGTTGCGCAGGACAAGTCTTTGGTCGACAAAGGATTTCTTTGGTTGACTACAGCCCTAGAAAAGAGCATTTGATATTTCATACAGTACACAAATATTCAAACATTTCATTCAGCAAGGATGCATTAAATTGATCAACAGTGACAGTAGATACTGCTCTTATTAACCTTTTATCCTCAAAGAATTCTTAAAAAATGCATCACTGCTTCCACAAAAATTTTAAGCAGGACAGCTTTTTTTTACATTGATAATAATAATTTTTTTTTTAAACATCAAATCAGCATTTTAGAAAGATTTCTGTAGAATCATACGACACCTAATGGCTCTTTCAGACTGCACGATTTTCAAAGTAGTCAGGTCGCTGCTCTTTTCACACTGCATGACTATCTTGGCCAGCATTCAGTCGCTGCTGTGTTCACACTGGACGATGGATCGGCGACAGAAGGTTTCACACTGCATGACTTTAGAAAAATCGCCGACAGACTCTGTCTAGCACGCTGCACGCAAACTACATTTCACAACAAACACGCGTGAGATATGAAAAGGAAACAACGCGCGACACCACACGTGCAAGACCGGAGTTCTCACGTGAGACTTTTTTTTTCGACCCGGTTGTGGTACAGCTGGTGAAACAGACACGAGTGCTCCTGCCAAATTTCTACTAATTTTTCTTCCATTTATTGTGTCCAAATAGACCGAGAAGAAGCTTTTTTTGTTGAAACAATGCCATATCATGTTGATATGTGATCTATAACTCCTCCCCGAACTCCCTGCTGCTCTGTATCTTGCTCTCTCACTGGCTGCCGGTGATCGCCGATGTAGTTTTCAGTCAAAACACTTTTCACACAGCAGGATTTTGAATCGCCGACAGGTCCAGATATTTAGCATGCCAAATATCTCACGGGCGTCGGCGACTCGTCGGTGATTCTCTCAGTTCGCGTCTTTGTTCATTCACACTGCGTGATTGTCACTCGCGTGAACGAGCGCCGATTTGCCTGTGATTTCGGGCATTTGTCGGCGATTTCTCAAAACCTGTCGGCGAGCCAAAATCGTGGCTAAAATCATGCAGTCTGAACTCGGCATAAGACTGAAAATGCTGGAATAATTTCAATTTGAAAACGTATTTAAATTGAAAACAAACTATTATTTTAAATTGTAATAATAATTCGCAATATTATTGTTTTTATTGTATTACTGATCAAATGAATGCAGGCTTGGTGAGCATAAAAGACTTTCAAAAATGTTTTTAAAAAATCTTACCAACCTCAAACGTTTGAACGGTAGTTCAAAAGGTACTAGGCGTAAGCGCAAGTTCTACAAGTCAGGCGGTACTTAAAATAGAAAAGCCTGGAATGAAGAAAAAAAAAAAACTAATATGGTTACATTTTTCTAACTCAAGTATGGACTGGAAATACCGGCTTTGTCTACACAAACACACCCATGGTTTTCCTGTTTACTTGGTTCTCTCTTCTGTGCCTAATGACCTATTTAACATACCTGTTAAACATGTTTGTTTTTTTCTTTTTCTCTATCTTAGATGCCCCATGAGTCCACAGTGGAGCACGCCCATGTAGACACCGAGACCGAGTCTCCTCTGGCCACACGCAATCGCCACTGTGTGGACTGCAAGGACATCGACTGCAAAAGAAACCAGCTCACACGCTCTATTAGCGAAATCAAACCGCCCCACCTGTTCGCTCAGCCGCCACAGGAAATCACACACTGCCACGATGAGGATGACGATGAAGAGGAGGAGGAAGAAGAAGAGGAGGAAGAGTAGATGTTTCGGCCTATTCTAGGGTAAAGATACATAGGACGATGATGAGAGAGTGGTGATGATGGTGATATCGAGTGAGGTAGAAAAGGATGTGCGAAGTAGACTATAATTGCCAAATCAAGCTCAAAAAGCTGATGTTCATAGTAGAGTTCAGTTCACCCTCCAGTAACAATGACTAAAAAGAATGAACGAAAGTTTGTTCAAAACTTGTTGGATGGTATCTGGAATCGTTTATCAGTCACTATATAAGCACATGTGATAAACTTCCAATGGAAAAAAACAGCGGAAGGACACTCATGAGTTTACATGAGACTGTCATGTATGTATCATACATGTAGCATGTTGGCTAAATCTGGCATTAACTTGCACACAAAGACTCGAACTCCGTTAGGATGAGTGTTTAACTCAGTAATTGGATCCTTAAGGGTACTCAATTTAGTTTTTAGGTATGTTATAGTCAGATTTTTACTATTATTTTATAAGTTTAGACAACTTTTGAGTTGCCAGTCCATCCAGTCAGATTAACTTGGTTACTACCTCCTGCAAAGGCTGTATACAATAATTGTCCCTTCGAAAAAAATGTTCGTGTGTGTATTTTGGCAGAGTGTCTGTGTTGAAGTTCTGGATGTGTCGGGAATCTAAATGAAGCACAGAAAAAACGAAGCATGGTTCATTGTGACGTGCATGAGGAAATGCGGCCAACACAAAAATCCAGTTACTTGGCAACAGCATGTAGCCACTTTTTTTTTCTTTTTTTTTAGAGGTTCGCTGTTAACCTCTTGTTTTTCATCCTTTTTAATGCAGACGTTTTAGCTAAAGCTAGTGCTACAGTGTAGCGAACAGATGCCTGCCCAAAATGATTCCAAACACACACAGACACTTCATTTCAACACCTATTTTAAACCGTCACGATGTCACATTAAACAGTGACATATTGTATTTTTATTCTCCTTTATGAGCTAAACAGAACGGTTTAGTTTTATTTTAGTTGTGTCTCATATGTTGCCTGAGAGATGCAATTCATTCTAACATCATATACGTAGACAGTAAGTGACCTTCATATGCAAAAATGAAACTTATTTAACTGTTTTATGGCCTGAGCAGCATGTCGAGATGTATCAGTCATTGAGAAAATAGTAAAATGAAGTTAACAGCTGGGCATTCTGAAACTGAGAAAGAGAGTGCTGTTGCTCTATGGAAATGAATGTAATCCTGGCTAATGTGTGAACTCTGTTGATGGTTTACTCCCATGTGGACCAAAATGGTGTCGAGAAATTGGGTTCGATTTAGCTTGAAGGGTCTCATTAGACACTTTTAGGTGTCCCCACAGGAAGTGTGTGGAGTTTTTAAGAAGCAAATGTGATTCTTGAGTGTTACGGTGAGACGCGGTTTTAGCGCTGGGAAGTGTTCCAAGTGCACGGAACAGGTATTAGGATGGTTGGTGTGACTTATGCATTATTCAAAGATAATAGTAGGTAGGCTCTGATTTAAGTAAGCTACCCAATCCATAGTGTAACATGTATGACTCGTATGCATATTGTAACTGTTTGTCCTTTTCTTTTTATTTCAGAGAATGTAGTTTTTCATGGGTCTGACTGTCAGTTTTTAAAAGGGAAGTACAAGTAGGTCTTATATTATAAAGTTTTGTGGTTAAGCACAAAAAAAAATAGTTTTCTAGGTTTTCAAGCGTGTTTCAAGGAACCAGTTAAATAAGTATAGAGATATTTTGAAATGTACAATGCATATTTTATCTGTGTCTATTTCAGTTTGTAGTTTAAAAACCTAAAATGGAGCAGCTCTTGTTTTTGGTCCCAGTCTTTAGTGTTTGTCCTTCAAGATCCAGCATTTCTCTTTCCTCTGTTTTCATTCGCTTTTTATACAAACTCAGCATTGTATGTAATATGGCTCGGCTCCCTGGATATGGATTAAAACTAGTCCTGGGCTAATTTGCAGTGGTGTCGGCTGTTGTCCTTTTTAGTTGTCTATGCAAGGGACACTGGCTTAGATTATATTTAAGAATAATGTAATAGAAAAGGCATCGAGTTTAAACAGTATTCATCCAATTATCCCAGTAGCCATTGCATACATCTGTTTCGACCAGTGTTTTCATATTATATTTTGCCATAGTTTACAGTTGCCATCACTTATATACTGTATACAATTACCAATATACTGAGTTTTTCCTTTGTATTTTTTACCTTTTTCCTAATTTCTGAAATCTATTTTTAGTTCATGATGTTTTTTTGTGTGATTTTATTATCTTTCAGGTGCAAAACGGTTGCATCTGTAAGAGATCAAGAGCAAAATAGCCATGGCATTTTATTAATCTTGTTTCTTTTCTTTTGCTTTTTGTTGTCGTTTGTTTGTTTAGGGCATGTGATTTTGTCTCCAAATTTTAATTTTGCTTCCTGAATTATAATAGTTTCTGATTTATAGAGTTCTAAACCTATACAAATGGGAGATTGCATTGCAATGTAAAATAAATATCATTTTCCTTAATAAATTCACCATTGGTCTCCTGTCATGTTTACTTCTGAGAGCATTTTTCTACTCTAACAAAGACAATAAGTCGGCCATTTCTGAGTTCTGTAATTTGTCTAAGTACTGCATATTGCACATTATACATAGTTTGACAAAAACATGAGCCTGACAAGTCATTTGTCTATCCATACTCAAAGCAAAAATGATGCAACAATCACAGTCAATCAGGATATATTTGATGTTTAATATGCAAAAAAGTGCAGAAAGAACACAGTACCATAGTGAAACTGATGAACGTTTAATAGCACTTTCTCTAGAAACATATTCCTCCCTAGGTTTTACATTTTAGTAACAAAGTAGCTACAATTCATTAACAAAGCAAATAAGAAAACATGTATTTAACCCCACAAGAGCATATTTCTAGGGGGGAAAAAAAATAATCAAAGTTGACTTTTATTTACTATATAAAACCCAACAATCTCTGATCTCACCTCTAATGTAAAATCTTTGGTATAAAGAGCAACAATTTTAAGATACCTAATCAAGCTTGAGCTTGGCTAAATTGTTAGACCGTGGTGCCAAGCAGTGGCTGTCTGTGGTACTGACCCATGTAGAAATAATAGAATACAACAAGTAATGCATTCCTGTTATTTATCTGTTAAGGTTCAAGTAACCATTGGAACACATCAAAACATCTACAGTAGAGAGAAGTCTTAAAAGCTGCCTGAATCAGATTTACCACAAAGTCTGACGTTGTAGAAACAGGGTCACGCAGCTGCCACCTACACGAACGTATAGGAATAGTTATTGGAATGAGTTATATGCTGTTTGTTGATAAGCTGTTTTGGGTCTCTGAGGATATGGGGGAGGGAAGCAAAGGAAAATGTGACCACTAACATTTCGGCAAAACCTTACCGCCACTATTGGTCATTTGGAGTATGGCAAAGGGAAAATCGAAGTGGTTTATCATTAACAAAACAGTAAATGAATTTTTTTAATACAACTGTATGCATAGCAGGAGTTTCCAGCGTTCATATAAATAACCATTGAAGAAGAGGAGCGACCTCTCTTACAGATGTGCGATGGATGGGTATTACAATTTAATGTAGTAGTTGTTTTAATGACGTGGCAAAGACTCCTTTTGTTACAGGCTGGATTCATTTACGAATCGCATTAATGCATATATGGATTCTCCCTTGCATAAAGTCCTGACAGGTCTTTGCGTTTAGTTCAAATAAGAAAGTGTTCGGCTTTAAGTGTAAAGTTATTGTGCCTTTGACAGACTTAAACTTTTAAAGCAGACAAATAGGACCTGTTCATCCTTGGAAGTGAATCCAAAATATCAAATATACAAACATGATACAAGACTTAATAATCTATCATTTACAATACAGTAATCATGACGAATCATCTTTTAAATAAAATGTGTTTCATTGCACTAGTTAAAAAAAAAAAATTAATATGATTTTTAAAGGCAATATAATGATTCATTAAAAAAAAGTGTAAAAGGTACTGTGGGATATACCAGATTTAGAACAGTAAAAAATAACCATTTCTGAAATGTAAAAGACCCACATCAGTACATATACAATTATGTTTTTGAAACTAGGTTTATATAGCATGTGCATGATATCAGTGACACTCATAGAGGCACACATGCACAACGTACAGACAGGTGTTTGCATGAGCCGACATTTATATCCTCAGACATGCACATATATACAAATGCATAAAAAATAAATAAATATGTGAGTAGAATGCTCTTGGTTCACGGTTTCCTTCAAAGCAGTATTTGGAGCAGTCTTTGTTTTACCCTATTACAGAATCTGCCTGGAGTATTTCTTCTGTGTTTGTGAACATCACAGGGCAGTTTGAGTGTAGCTGGAGGGGCTCGTACGAGCACAAGACTGTCCGTCCTCCAAACTCTTTGGCTGAGGGGGACATAAACGCTGTGGTTTATCTGAAATCTTAACGGGACCAAAGCATGTCACTGGACTATCCCATTTTGCCTTGGGTCAACCCAAGCTCTGGCCCCAGTTGTACTGCACTACCAGATTAGAGTTGTTTGGGCTGGTGAAGCAGCTCTAGATGGCCCCCTCACCGTGTCCTGTGTGGTTCGACTTGATGTGGGCTACGCAGTTCTGTGTCTGGTTGAAGAGAGCGGTGGTTTCATCGGTCACTCCGTCATGGAGCTCTGTCAAAGTCATTTCGATTTTGGTGTACTCGCTGTCCGAGGACTGTGGCGTCTTGTCAATGCGTGATGCCATGACGGCGTTCTGATACTGCTGGCGTGTTACCTGTCAAAACACACGGGAAAGGGGGTTACAAAAAAAACCTTTTGTAACTGTGTCCTCCTAACCAGATGGAAAAATAACTTTTATCCCGTGTTTGCGCCAAGGTAATCAGAGCGTTTGTCGTTTTTTAGAAGCAGTTTCTATATCTGCGACGTTGCAGCTGGAACCAATAGTATCCAGCTGCAGACCCGCAGCACACCAGTTTCAGAACCCCAGCGCCAGAACCGGAAGTAAGGGGCGGAGTTACGTTCTAACCAACACCAGCGCCAGGGCCGTAAGTGAGGGGCGGAGCTTAGGTTCGAAATCTAATAACGCCACCCTAATGTAATTTGGAGGGTATTTTACACATGAAACAGCTTTTATTGAACATGAACTATACGTATGTTATGATCCTACATTACAGTACAATAAGCATTTTAAAACATTGATTTTGTGTAATATAATTGTATATAGTTTCAGTTATCGGTTTCATTGTATTATGAGTTACTTACTGATCATACTTCCTGATTAAGAAAAAATAATACTTAAAACTTATGGGCATTTTAATGTATAACAGTTTAATAATTTTAGCTAAGCAGTTTATGCTACGTGTAGATTTATGAAGGTAAGACCTTTGTTTTTTTGGGTTTTTTTTTTTTGTTTTTTATGAAGGAGTTAACTGATAAAAACAAGACAAGCATTGGAGGTTTTCAAAATTATACAAAATTCGATAACTCATTAGACCTCTGTGATATTTTATGTTCTATTTATTTATGTATTGTGTTTACAAAAATCTTTATTTGTTTTGAAATTGAAGATATGTATTTGTATGATGATTTTGATTGTTTAATAAAAACAAATAATTTAAAAAAACGCATGGGTATTTTTTATAAAATACACTTTATTCCACAAGAACATGTGCAGCATGCATTTTTTTTTTTCGTGTAAAATAATAATGTCAAAATCTAAAAAAGAGAGAGAAATTTCGGCATTGTTTTAAACGAAACAATAAAATATACAAAATGACCAATTCAACCCTAGGCCTGTTTTATCACAACAAACTTGTATACATTTAACTTACAATGTATCAAATTAGGAACTCACTCTCAGGCCAATTTTGTCCTTATATTCTTGCTAAAATAACTATAATACAGTAATAGTAATTCCGCCCCTCCCTCACTTCCGGTTCTGGCGCTGGGGTTCTGAAACTGGGGTTCTGAAACTGGTGGTGCTGCGGGTCTGCAGCTGGATATATCTCGCTGGAACAACAACATACAAACTATGACAACGATAACGGACCATTCACACATCAGTTCCACAATACCGTTAAACTCTGTGATGATGTAATTAAGAAGGCTAGTTGTTTTATCATATGTGACAGTATGGCTAACTGGTGTTGACAAATCTCTTCATCCGCCCAGACGAGGAGAAGAGCTTTAGTTTTGGTATCACTCCAATTTGAAGACGTGTAAACAGTCCTGGGTAAATGTGTCATCTGCGTCATAATTTTATGAATGGCCCAGAACCGTTGCTCTATCAACGGCTTCTGCTTGGCCCAAATCACTTTTTCCGACAGCTTGTTCTGTGAATGTGTGTTGTATTGTAAGGATGTGGTCCTAGGCTTTGTTGATTATGATCAATCTAAAAAAAAAAATTTTTATGTAATTAATATGATCTTGTTACTATCAAAAGTGCATATTCATAAATCTAAATATCTATCTAAATGCCAAACCTTCTTATATTTGTGAAAGACCTTAAAAATGACCTCTTTTCAATTAAGTTGTCAGAGAACAAAAAAGCTTTAAAAACATTTTCTGTAATTTGTAATTCTTTTCTTTTTGTCAGTGTCATGTAAATCTCATAATTTGTCAATATGTTTAATTTATATTATTCCCCTCATTGTTTTTATTTTGTTTAGCTGTTATATATATATATATATATATATATATATATATATATATATATATATATATTCTGTTGTTATCTCATATTATTTGTGTATTGTTTTAAGCATTAATAATTAAAAAAAAAAATAATAATATAAAAAAAATACTGTGATCTTCATTCCACGTTCACACAGCTAATTTACTGGTAATGTTACATCTTCGTTTACTGGTAAATTTCCGGAACCAATTTACCGGTATTTTTTAAAATGTCCTGTTCACACATGATCTGTCTGAACCCCAAGAGCCACAATGGCACCAAAAATGTGCAATGAATGTCTTCAGAAGAATTACATTGATTCAGATTGTGTTGGGCATGTTGATTATGTTGTGTAATGCCAAAAAAATATATATGTTCATAAACTGCAAGCGAGTCTGTTTACCTTAATGTACTGTACGTCTGCCACAGCCCTGACAGAATAGTCTGGCACATAGATATGCAGGAAGGCATTGAGCTGGTTGTTACTGCTGCCCAATGACGGTGTGATGGATTCAATCCGCTCGCTACGATTTAACGAGTCAGAATGGTTCAGCCCAAATGGCCGAGGAGGGGATTTGTTTTCTGCAGATGAAAAGGGAAAGCATTGTGACTTCAGTAATCAGGATAAAATAAACACATAAAATCAAGTTCACGATAGGGAGGGGGGACACAGTGTAAAACTTATCAACCTTGCTCATGAATATTTATGATCTGACCTGATGTAACAACAATAGTTCAACTAATTCGCTGACGCGAATTAAGAGGCGGGACTATCTGTGAGAGAGTAATGATAGAATCCTGACAAACCTAATGAAAACTGCTTTATATTCTGAATGACAAACTTTACAAATCAATTTATATTCAAGTACACTAGCACTTTTTCAATAACTGAATAATGACAATGAATTGATCATAAGTGACTTTAAGGATTTTTTGTATTATATTAAAATGATTTCTGAAGTATCACATAACATTGAAAACTGGAGTAATGGCAGGAATGCATCACGGGGGGGGGGATTACAAATATTTCACAATATTAATATTTTTACTGTATATTTGATATCATAAATACAGCATTGGTGAGTAAAAGAGACTTCTTTTAAAAACCTTACATTTTTACAGACTCCAAACTTTCAAACAGTAGTGTATGTTTGTAGATGTTTATGGCTTTTTAGTACACTGAACCGTTTAGTGACTAGACCTTCAAATCCAGCTTTATAGAGAATAATTAGCACAGGGTATATTCTGATTTTATAATAGCAATAGCTTGTAACAGCTTTTTCGAACTCAATAATTGCATTGCTAGTTATGATGGGGGTGGTTCATGTATGTAAAAGGGTTGCCGCTGGCAAGAGTATGAGACAAAGCCTAAGAGCTTTCAAAGTGAAGACTGGCTTGTTCTTTTAATTAAACACAGCTTATGTTTTCCACTTCATAAAGAGGGGGAATTTACGAGTGCACACACACAAACATATTGACTTTACTCACACACAAAATACTTGCTAACAGACACTCAAATAAGCACACTCCAGCAAATATATGTATTCTTTCTTTGTTTCTCCTACACATAAACGCACATACAAATACACACACACAGGTTTCCACAGTGGGGTGTGTTAATGCCACAATTTGGTTGGAATGTATGTAATCCGTGTTTGGATGTGTGAGTGGAGTGGGGGAGCCACCGCGTCTTTAGCTCAAGGCTCCAATGCTGGCCTGAAGGGGCCCAACTCTGAACCCTACATGCTGGTAGTCAGCATGAGGTTTGTGAGAACCAGGAACAGTGTGTGTGTGTGCATGTGTGTGTGGGTGACTATGTACAGAGGTGTGTGTCTGTGTGTGCGCGTATGGCCTTGCTGTCACCCTTCACTTCAGGAGGCCTGTGAAGTAAAAATGTGTGGGAGGAATTCTGTGAGTTTACTCTAACATATGGTACGATTTACACTAAGAAACTAATGTCTGACCTTGTCATTGTTTGATTAGTCATTTTGGTTTAACTATACCTGGAGATCCAGCAACAGACTCAGCCCTACTGACCACAAAGGTACGAGAAACTGCAGGGAAGAACGAGAATAGGAGGGAAAGAAAAGCATTAAAAGAGGGTGGGAAACAAAAAGGTGACTGAAAGGTAGAACTGAAGAGCTATAGGAGTAAAATAAATCGCACTTGTTTTAATCCACATTAGAAAATATTGCCACATAAAGCACCTTTAGTAATCACTGTAGTTCCATTTTCTCAACACCAGAGGTCACCTATGTTCTGTGATAGTCCCCTAACTAGTGGCACATGTGACCCTTGGTTAAAATGTGGCATAATATTCAACCCCTTTCAATTTTTGGTGGATCTATCTATGTTCAAAGTTATTTGAAAATACCCTATAGTCATTTAAAAGAGAGTCAAACTTCCCCCCAAAGACTTTATACATTTATGTTTACAGTTTTTCTCAGTCGCTTTGGTGCATTTCTCACATCACTATTTACATTTGCACAAGAGTTAGTTCAACCTCCACAACATTTAATCATTTGTGCACATCATAGTAGCAGTTTCTCATTCCTTCCAACAAATTGCAAATGCTTTTGGACATGCATCAATTGCTTTCATAGAACTCACTGCTGTTTTATAACATTATCATTTGCTTTTTGTCATATCAGTCCAAATTAACTATACTTGTGAATGCTGAATAGTCATTCCATATAAAAAAAATAAAAATAAAAAAAATTAGTTGTCAAAATCCGTCAAGCAAATTTTTTTTTTTATCTTTTAAAAAAACCTTTTTTTTTTATCCTAAATTGAACAATTTCTCGCTGGTGAACCTCAGCTTTCACTGATGAGAAGAGATGTGCATGAATGATTTACAGTATATGTATGTTCTATGTTCAGTTCCAATATGACCTGTGATATTGTTTACAGTTGTCCACCGATCTACCCAAAGGGAGTTTATGTTTGTTGTAAATAAGGGTGTATTTTTTCTTTTGCACAATGGTCTGAACAAATTAGAATAATTGGATCAATGAAATTTGCAATCTAGATAATATAACTCTGGAAGAACTAGAATTAAAGGCACACTATGTAAGACTTGAACACACCTGTACCTTAATATAACAGCTTCAAAGTCATTTGGGTTGTAAACAAACTCATAGTAGTGCGAATCATCTTGGTAGTATAGCTTGGGGGGGACGCCGCTGGAAAAACCAGCAATACAAGTTTGAGAGGAGTGCAAAAGTGAGGCTGACCTGGCGTTTGTTGGATGGACTAGTACATATTTCTAAGTTTGTGTGCATTTTATTATGTGATTTCACCGGAATGAATAGAGAGAGTCCGCAATGGCCATAGAAGTGCACGTCCTTGCACGTCCAAGTGGAGACGGTGTACGCGCCGCCACATAGGGTGACCTGACAATTTGGGAGAGTCCCGAAATCTAAGTAGTTGTCCCGAATCCGACCCTAATTGCCCTGTAAATTATACTTAAAGAGTAACTAAACACTTAACCAACTTTTTTAGTTAATGATCTGATCAGTCATTGATTTGAGTAAAATTTTTGGCATTTGTTTATAAAGTGTTCTATTTCTACAATATATGGTGTAAAAACGTCTTAGTGCTGCCCTCTTCAGGTTGAACGGTGGCTACCGCAGTTGAATTTTCCTATTGGATGTTTGCGGTGGAACGTGACACAGCGGTTGTTGGTGACGTAGGCAAGTTTCATACAACGAGATGCGTCCCCTCCGCTGGGCTCTGCCCACTTTTCCAGCATTTTTGAAATATTGCCAGTGGGTGGAGTCAGGCTCTGACCAGGGGTTTAGTTACCCTTTAAGCAAAACCTTGATAAAATATTAAAAACTGTCTGTGGAGATTGAGTAGGCCCCTGGATGGCTGCAGCATCTTTTCGGTTTCTTTTTTTGAAGTCCTACAAAGATGTAGGGGTGAATTTATATATACATTGATAAGCAAATTTTCATTCATTCGTTTTGTTTGCATGGCTGGTGTACCAGAACCACAATGCGCCATTTTTTTAGTGGCAGACTAAAAACTAATGACAAAAAAAAAGTTTGGTTCAGGTTTGAAATTCATCATCTTTTATTATAGGCCACGCAGTCTAATATCATAATTGGCCTACCCATAAACATCACCTAGATCTCTTATTTAAAGGCACACTATGCAAGATTTGTACCTTAATGTTACAGCTTCAAAGGGCTATCAGGCCGTGAGTGCAGAAGCGCTCTACATGAGTGGTACTTACGACAGTAACGTTAAATACAAGTAAACCACAGTGACTCTAGGGGTCGCTGTTTGACAAAATGAACAAATATTTTTCCGAGTCATTTGGTTCATTCAACGAACGAAACAAAGGAACTGAGTCAGAAAAAGATTTGTTCATTTTGATGAACGAGTTAGAACAGGAGAGTCACAAACAGTCACAAACACAGAACAGACGAGCATTTGAGCTTATAAAACTTAAACTTTGTAATTTATTTATTAAAAGAGCGATCGTTTTGCTTACTTCGACCCTTATTCATCTTCTGGAATCATTTAAAGCCCTTTGAACAGTTTGCAGTTTGTGCTGAAAGTGGCTTTTGGATTGTTTGGTTCCCACTGAACTGCATTATTTGGAGAAAAATGCTGGGCTGTTTTCATCAAAAACCTTAATTTCTTTTTCACTGAAGAAAGAAAGACATGGACATCTTTGATGACTTGGGGGTGAGTAAATTATCAGCAAATGTTTTTTGAAAAGTGAACTACTCCTTTAACATCAGTAAAACGTCACAGGTCTACATTGATTGCAGTTCTACATACTATTAAAGACCCATTGAATTGCCTTGGAACTCGCAGCTTTGTATAATGCATTGACGTGATTTACACTGAAACAGGAAGTTTAGGTTAGACATATTGAATGGCTCCTCCCCCTTTTCAAAGAGCCAATAGCATTTAGTTTACCTCACAGACTGCAAGTAGTACCATGGAAGTGAATCTGAGTGCTGATGATATGTCGGATTCAATAGTGGAGGATTCTTTCATTTCATTCTGAAGCAATGTACAGTTGGAAAGCGGAATAAAAAAAATTGAGCGTTTAAGCAATCAAACACACATCTCCAACCCATATTGATCCATGATGTGTCAACAGTTTGGGCCAGGTGGTATTTATAGCATAGGGGGCGAGAGTCGGGGGACGTTTAGATTCTAGAGAGCATTTGTTGGACAGAAGATGTGATGAGAAGCTGAAGTCCACAGCAAGGTCCAATGTCATAAAAATCTGTGATGATCCATTTTAGCGGAAATGAGAAATGTCTCGTTTGCGGATGTAACCCTCGTACCCTGAGTAGGGAACGCAGACGTTCCATCGGATGACGACGAATGGGGATTTCGCTTAGAAAGCCTATCAGCTTTACTCAATGTAAAACGAGCCAATTGTAAAGAAATGGCATGGGTCAGGGGATTTTGCATCGCGTATATAAATAAAAATGATAAAAGAGACTAATGTTCAATAAAAAATAACTTGTATTATTATTGTTATTATAGAAATCATGCATAAGATGAGCGAATTGGAAAATGGATGGATGAATGGAACTTTTTATTATTTCTATTCATAATCAAAATAAATCATTATACTGTTTTAATAATAGTTTAAATGCCCCCTGAAATCAAAATGTATTTTTTTTTTAGCTTTTAGTATGTCTATGTTAGCATTAAGGTTATGAATAAGCTTGTGTGTTCCAAAACAATGACAAAATTTGGATTTAGGAGATATAATCATTCAAAACTAACTAATATATCTAATGTAATAAATAAAATATGCTGAGTTAAACGTATTAGAAACAAGCAAGATTTCTACACTCCAAAAAAATCATGGAAAGTTCTTAGTAAGTTTAAGTTTATCGTCGTTTCATAACTTCTATTTGATTTTATTTGAATAATCATATTTTCAAAAAAGCATTTATTCAAATGGCTTAGATTAGGCACAAATCTGTTCATTGTGCAAACAATTACATTTATTTAGTTAAAAAGTATTAAATGCTTTTAGCTATGGAGTAATATTTAATTAGTTAAATGTATTATTTAAAAAATGGACTTATTGATGACAAATATATAAACCTGGTAAGTGTGTATTTAAAACGCATTCCATTTATTAGCACGATTACAGAAATCCTGCTACCTGTTTCTTACGTTTTATACATAAACCTTAAATACCAGTACAGCGCACAAAGCAAATAGGTTACTTTTTGTACTTTGTAGAAAAACTGTATGCAAATGAATGTATTATTTGTATTTACCTGGAGAAGCAGTGAGAGCCATGATCCCATACGAGGAGAAAGCTCCAGCTTCAAACTTCATTCCCTCCTTCCCTGCCTCCACTTCCACCTTCCCCTTAGAGAACAGATCACATTGAAGGCAAGACTTTCAATACAGCTAAGATTTTTTTTTTTTTTTTTTTTTAAATAACATTAAGTGGATAGATTTACAACTAATGGGACTATATTTGCAAAAGAAGGCTTTCAGTAATTCCTTTAGAAGCATGTCTGTCTTTAACTATATACTCACTGAACTAAACATCCTTTTTTTACGAAGTTCTTTCATACTGGGCGTGTTAAATACTTGCGAAAATCCCAGCTTGTTCTAGGCTAATAACCTCAATCCTTTCTCTCTATGCCTTCCACGGCCCTGGACCAAACAACCAAGCTGACCTGCAGAATGAGGATGAAATAGTCTACGGGCTTGTTGCGGTGGAAAAGGTAATGCTCCATGGCCTTCTTATTCTTCTCATTATATTTGACCTCCTGGATGACGTTGGGGTGCTTGAGGAGACGCAGAAGGATCTTCTCAGACATCTGGATGGGACTGAATAACTCAACTTCTGTAAGACAAAAGAAGACATGACATCATCATCTTCCTGTTCCTGTGGGTTTTTCACAATTGAAATAGTTACCTCAGAGCCATTCTAAACCGTGGTTAAAGGTAATATTGCATTTTCAGGTTTCAAGATATCACGCGGTATATTAGTAAATCCTGGGTAAATGATGCCCTAACATTTTTTTTTTTTTTGGACGAACACAGCTTGTGGCAGGCAAATACTCTGCTTATACATCGGTGACACTGTTCTGACTGTTTGCAGTATTCTGAAACAAACAAAAGCAAAAACTAAATTTTAAATCCTATTAACACCGTCAGCTTTCAAAATTGTATTGTTCTCTGAAAAGCTGAAACTTAACAGAGTGTGAAAGTTTCTGTGACTACAAAGCTTATAAATAAGCACTGTTGTCTCTATTATGATGGTTGTCTGTTGCTAAATACTGACTGTAACCTTGTTCTGTTTACAGTATATGTGTCACCTGGCAGCTGGTCGCTCCTTGACCAGGGAACGCTAATAGTATTGTATTTGTTAATCAATGATTAGCGTAAGCCACAAAGGGGACCGTTTTTACCAAATCCTTGAATTCGGTTTAAAAGGGGAATATCACTCAGAATGGTTTGTCTCTATTATACACAAACACCCTTGGGACCATTTAACAGCAGCCTGATGGAGTAACGCAAAGGGTAATGACTTGTAGGGGGCTGTGCTAAATGCCTGAAGAATTCTAGAAGAATACAAGAATCAGCAATACAGGCTGCATTTATTTAATCAAATATTACAGTAAAATGTTGAATTTATATTATAACTGTATTTATGTGTCATTTTTTAAATTAATTTGATGGATTCTTACTGAACAAATGTAAAAATTTTTCTTAAAAAAAAAAAGTAAAAAAGAAAAATTTACTGACCCCAAACTTTTAAAACAGTAGTGTAAATGAAGAGTTCAGATGCAAAAGCCTCTAAATGCCATTTGAAATTTTCTTCTTTAATGATGATTTTTATCAAACTTTTATATTTAAGTTCAGTAATTTCACTTAAATGGCAATGATAATTACTTATTAATTGTTATTTAAGTGAAATTACTGAACTTAAATATACAAGTTTGATATAAATCATCATTAAAGAAGACAATTTTTAAATGGCATTTCGAGGCTTTTGCATCTGAACTCTTCAAATGGCTACTAAAAAACACAAAAAAGTGCCACACTCTTAATATAGTTCAAACCTTAATATACAAACAACATCAACATCACGACTTCCACCAAAAACTGCCATTTATTTACCCATTAAAAAAATGTTGCTTTAGATGTTGGTTACGGTAAGAGTGACAGTAAAGATTGACAGAAGAACAATGTTATAAAATATATCTATTTCAAATAAATGTTTTCTATTCATAAAATAATCCTGAACAAAATCTATCATGGTTTCACATTAATATTAAGCAAAACATCCATATTCAACACCAAATAAGCATATTAGAATGAATATTACAATATTAATGTTTTAATGTCTATTTTGTCACATAAATGCAGCTTTGGAGAGCATAAGAGACCCTAACATTTTGAACGGCACTGTACAGTATGTTATTATATTATGTCTAATATGATATTTCATGTGTTTTTTTGTTTTTGTTTTTTTCAAAATTTTTCCCACAGTCTGGGTTTAAAACAAACATCTGTCAATGCAGTACAACAACAAAAACGTTGACAATCACAAAAATCCTACTCAAGAAAGAAAGAAAGAAAGAAAGAAAGAAAGAAAGAAAGAAAGAAAGAAAGAAAGAAAGAAAGAAAGAAAGAAAGAAAGAAAGAAAGAAAGAAAGAAAGAAAGAAAGAAAGAAAGAAAGAAAGAAAGAAAGAAAGAAAAAGAAAGATTTTAAGGTGCAGGAAGTCATTCTTCTATACACTAACCCAAACAAGCTGCTGCTTTTTAAAAGGCACCATGGCATGACTTTCACCAAAACCAGAGGCAAAGCTCCTCTACTATGTTTACTACCCTAACCATACTACAGTCACAGGACACACTGGGGTAAATCAAGCAGCTATGCAGTGCACTTGCCTGTTGCTAGGAAACGCAGAGTAGCCAGTAGAAGCTGAGGTGATATTTTAACCTTCATTTCATTGTCCATGTGCTTGAAAGCCGAGAAATCCTGCTTCCGCTCTCGATGGGCGATTTTCTTTTTTGTTTTGTTGTCGGCTGTCAGAAAAATGGGATGACAGAAGAAGGAAGTGTTTTAATTAAATTCTTGAATGATGTTTAAAACATATTGCTTCATATGTTTGTAAACATATTTGCAATGACACATAAAATGGTTTTTGGGTAACACTTTACAACAAGGTTCCATTTTTTAACATTAGTTTACCACATTGGTTGACATGAACTAACAATAGCAAATACTCTAAAGCCTTTGTTAATCATAATTAATGTTAATTTCAACATTTACTAATACATTGTTAAAATCTAAATTTGTATCTGTTAATATTATTGAATGGACCTGAACTGACATAAACTAACAATTAACAGTTTTATTTGTAATAACTTAATCAAGTTAATATGAATGTTTAGGGTCTAAATGAAAATTTAGTAATATTCTTTCATTAAAAATTCTCATTAGTATTTTAAGAAAACACTCATTTTACCTGGTCAAAAACTGCTCTGTTTTTAGCATGCCGTTTCAGTGCATATGCCTTTAAATGATAATGAGCTTCACTCACTCCGCCCCACTGTTCTGCGGGCGTTTTGACACAACGCATATAGGGCCCTATCTTGCACCCAGCGCAAATGACTTTGTACACTGACGCATGTATCATTCCTGTTTTGCACCCGCGCAAAGCAGACTTTTCCCTCCACAGATGTACGTCATTAAACTAGGGAATGAACTTGCTCTCCCTGGGCAGGTCGGTGCAAAAAAGAGGCGTGTTTCGGCGCAAACAATCCCTGGTGCTCATTTGCAGTTCCAGAGAACAATTGCGACACAGACCAGAAAAAAACCTAGTCTAAAGTCAGTGGCGCATTGCGCATACATTCAGATGCTATTTTAAGTACGCAGGCTTGGTCATAATACAGAGTGTAAACAACGCGCATACACTGTAGATGATTCTCTCATCTACACAGATGCATTTTACCTTTTGCAAATGTTACATTATTATAAGGGAGAATATTAAAACACGAGGGAAATCATTGTTGTGTCCATGATGATGGGAAAAATAGGCATAAAGCTTACACATTACCCAAATTATTATATGCATGTTTAACCGATGCTAATTTTGGGTGGGTTTGTCCCATCCCCAATGTCACTTCTCTTTCTTTTACAGCCCTGATAGAACATCTATCTCCACGGCTGTGAACCGATTTTGAAGCGCGCCTAGTAAATGTGCTGTTATAATAGTATTGCACCATGAAACAAGCGCACCTTGTTCATCATGATCTTAAAGAGAGCGCTATATGACGCTCTATGACGCTCTATGACGCTATATGACGATATGACGCTCTTATTGGTTTTTCCCGTTACGCCCAAATCACACCTATGAATAATAAAGCTATTTCAGACCAACCCCTTTTAAACTTGCAACAGCCCCCAAGACCCGCCCACAAAGTTACTTGTGCTTCACGTTTGATACTTGCGTTTCAGAACGTTAAAATAGGGCCCATAGAGTGTTGCCTTGACAACAGTTGAGGGTATATTTTGGAGAAAGAATGGCAGCGGGAGTCTCTGAGGACACATCTTCGACACATCTTCATTCCCTTCGAAAACAAACTTAGCCACTGCGTCTTCAGTGGTTCAGATTTAGGAACATCAAAGTGTCTGCTGTGTTCGTTATTACACCCAAGAACAGAATACCACAATCGCTTAAACACCATTCTGCTCCAGCGTGTCAACAATGGCGGACTATAATGACAGCTCACTCAGTGCGGTTCTCTGTTGACAATCGTGTCCCAACAATCATGGGAGGGGCGTCCGACCGTGTGACGTCACTCGGACGAACGGCTCAATTTGAGAGAGGGGAAAACATATAAAGAGATTAAAACAAAAACACTGGACGGCTTTTTATCATTATATGATGGGTGTGTACATGCACTGCCGACACAGATTTCAGTACCATCAACTTGTAAAAGTGCATATACCATTATATGACCCCTTTAACAAAGGTTAATAAATACTGTTGTTAGTTAATGCTAATGCATAAACTGTAACACTGATCGAAGAAGACAAAGATGATTCGGAAATAAAACAAGATTTAATAACTCAGAACAGGCAGGCAAATAATGATCCAAACTATGCGAGACAGTGTGCTACGCACAAACAATCCCGGACAATGATTGATACAATCAAAAGAACTTAAATAAACAGAGATAATGAACTAAATAAGCAGCTTTGATAGAGTTAGTTTCCATAGAAACAAACGAGTGGCGGGAAACTGAACAAAGGAACACATGTGACCGAAAATAACAAACTAAAAGTCCATGAAAATGAAACTAAGATCAAAATAGCACCCAAATAGGACAGAAATGTGACAGTACATCCCCTGCCGAAGGCGACCTCATGCCTTAACAGATGCGGTGAGGGAAGAAAGGTGAGGGCTCTGGGGGTGGATGAGGAGCCGATGAAGGGCTGATGAGAGGAGATGGTGAAAGGCTGGTATAAGCAGGCAGGACAGACCAAGGAGTCGATGATGGAGGAAGAAGCCAAGGAGGAGATGATCAATGGAGTAGCCGGATGGTGATGACCCAAAGCTCAGCCAAGACGATAGCCCATGACGGAGTCGATGGAGGGAGTAGCCAAGACATTGATGTGGCCGACGACATCCACAGGACAACCAACAGAGACAGAGCTGATGTTAGGGGATCGTAGAGCGCAGACAGAAAGCTGATGGACCTAAGCGACGCAGCTAGTGCTGGAGACCAAAGCAGAGCTGCAGCAACGATCATTTGAGGTGTAATCGGAGCATCCGAGGACTGAGGCAGAGCAGGTGTGACAAAGGACCTAGGTGGCTGAAGGGAGGGCGGAGCCCGCTGGAGCCAAAGGGGTGGAGAGCCGGAGTGCGGCGAATGGATTGTAGGTCCGCAGAGCAGGCAGAGTGATGGCTTACCAAGGTGAAGCCGGAGGGACGAGAGAGCTTGGTGGAGCTGCAAGACCAAGGATCTCAGGTGAAACCGAGGGTGGGAGGAGTCAAGGCGTCGCTGACTGGTCGACGGCAGATTCGGAGCAGAAGGATCAGCAGCAGTAAGCAGAACTGAGGGATCCTAACTCTTAGGTGAAGCTGTTGAGACTTGCTTCAAGCTTGACAACGCCACAAGGCGTCACAGGGTAATGTGAAGGGCTGCAGGAAACCAGCTGAGGCAGGGATTAATGACTGGTTGAGAACTACAGTGGAGGTGGGAGAGGAAGGATCACTGGTAAATCCCTGTTTTTGCTGGGTGAGGATACTGTGGTGATGAAAGTTCTGATTGTGCCTCTAATGATGAAAAAAGGGTGGAAATCACCGCTTCAAAGTCCCAATCAATTAGACAGTCTTCTGTCAGACTTGTGCTAGGGCTTTGGCCCCGGGATGTTATTAGACACTGTACTCGCAGGCTAAGCTCTCCATCTGCAGGGGGCTCTGGTGTTGTCGTCCCAGAAGAGAGACTTTAACGACTTATCATCAAAGGCAGTCTTTAAAGCAAACTGCAGTTTTGTCATGACAGAACCGAAACGAAAAGTTCATTAACGGAAGTCCTTTTCGGACTGGGGCGGCAGATTCCGCCGCATTATCCATTCTTGGGTCCAGTATTTTGTAACGCTGGTCCGAAGACGGCGAAGAGTATTATTAGGAAATTAAATAAGATTTATTAAATAACTAGGCAGGCAAATAACAATCCAAACAATGTGAGACAATGAACTCAATAAGCAGCTGTGATAATTGAGTTAGTGTCCATGGAAACAGATGAGTGGCGGGAAACTGAACAAAGGAACACACATCACTGAAAATAACAAACTAAAAGCCCATGAAATTTAAACTAATATCAAAATAGCATCCAAACACAACAGAACTGTGACAAACTTAAGTTAACTAATGGACCTCATTGTAAAACCATTCACCATTAAATCCCATGTGACATGATGAAATGGCCACCAGGTACACTTTGATCATAGAGAAGGCCTTACTTTGATGTTGTATCTCCTGAAGGAAGGAAAGAATGTCAGGTCAAATTTTCACTACTTCGCCTTATATAGAGATCTGGTGGTTTGCGGTCTAGCACTCTGGATGGTAAAAATCACATTCTGGGGCAGGCGAAGAGCATTCAGATTAAACCTCTAATGAGCCAGACCCAGAGATTTCACCTCTGCTGATGTGGATGAAAATCCTCCCTCCTGCTAGGACCTGAACACAGCAGTTGAACTATCTCCTCTGCCCATGGTCTCCATGGCTATAATGAAGCTATTTAAAGCATTATTTCTCTCTGCAACCTGATTCTGGACAGAGTAGGGAGGATGAGTCTTATAGGTGGGGAGGATGGGGTTAATAGGTGGGAAGGCATTTAACAGGTCTCTGGCCAGGGATGTGCTAATGCATCCATCCCATGATGCAACTGTCTCCTTCAGTGAAAAGAACAGGGGACAATGGGTGTTCTCATCCGAAGCAAACAGAAACACATCTACCTGGCCATAGTTATCCAATGCCTCCTGAAAAACCGCTGGGTGGAGCCGTCATTCCCCTGGGTGATAATTGCCCCTTGACAACTGGTCTTCCCCAATATTTACTAGGCCTGAAACGTCTGCTGCTCTGAGGGACAGCAAGTGTTTCCTGTAACATAGCAGCACTCTCCTTGTCAAGGCATGCAGATTTTTCGAGCAGCTGCCTCCATGCCTGTATTTATAAGAAACTACTGTTGTCTTATCTGATCTGACTAACTAACAAATTACCCTTTTATTTGCAGGAGGAAGTGTTTAAGAGCCAAAGATATTGCCAGGAACCCCAGACAATTTATAAGTATTAGTTTGACTGGTTCTGTCCATACTCCACTCCCTCCAAGATCACTCCACAGCCCTGTGAGGACACATCTGTAGTGTCCACCTTGCTGTCTGAAATCACTCCCATTGAATTATTTGTCTCACCAAATGAGCAGAGCCCTAAAACAGTGGGTTGAGACTCGCACCTTCTTGTGCAGACATATGGAGGGATTTAATTCCAGAGAAGAGGTCCATTTCTGACAATCTCTCTTGAAATGAACAACAGCCCCAAAAGCCCCATTGCTAAAACTGAAGCCATGAGCCCAGTCATATTAAAAGCCAAAAAGAGATTGTCTTCCCCAGGCGAAACGTATTCACACAGTTCCATAAACTCTCCCTTCTCTGATTCGAGAGGGTTGCCTGGTAAGTTATTGAGTTCAGGTCCAAACCAAGAAATACCACTAATTGTTTTGGGATTAATAAGCTTCCTCTGGTACACTGAGAACCCCAAATAATCCATGTAGTCATGCATGTATGCACCCCACCATCTCCCTTGATCTGACACATATTAACCAGTTCTCAAGAAATGCTGATATCCTTATGCCCAATTGTCTCAATGGTGTCCATGACACCTCCACTCATTTTGTGGAAATTGTCTGTGCTGGGGCTGTGAAATAGGCATCCTTTAGATCGATTAAGGTGAACCAGTCACCCCTCTGAACAGAATTAAGCAAGAATTTTTGTGTCAGTATTGTGTCAACATCTGAGGTCCAGAATACCTCCCAATTTCTTTGGAATAAGAAAATACTGACTGAATAATCCCTTCTTTGATTCCTCTGCCAATATCACCTGAATTGCTTCTTTGAGAATTTATTTCCTGTCTCAAAATGTTTGCAGTCTCTACTTGCACTTTTGACTGTCTTATCATTGAGAAACCCGGGGGTTCTCTCTCAAATTGCAGTCTGTATCCCATTTGGATTCTGCTTAATAACCACTTGAAGTCTCTGCAAGCAAGTGCGACATGCTTCCTACCAGTGCTGTGGGTGGCGTTCTGAACAATACAGTTTCTACAGGGTGCTTGTGTATAACAGTATTGTGATGAAAACTACCACTCTTTATGAGATTTTGCATGATAAAATTGCCTGGATTTAGAACGGGGAAAATACAAGAGGCCACACTGTGTTTTTGTGTGTACACTGCTTTAATTGATGCGACAACACAGGGGAAATGAGTATGTGAAAGTACTTCTTGATATTCTGTACTCGACCCCGGGGTGTGTGTGGTTGTTGGTGAGTACTCAAGTTTCACACCACTGTTCTCCGGGGAATTTGCAGAGACAGCAAGAAAAAATTTGGGTTATAATACAGAACCCCTATCCCTTCTCAAAAATGAATGCTGAGAACTGATCAGATCTTTGAGGTGGCTTAGAGGTGACAGTGGATAATCCAAATGCCAATGAACGAACCAGATGGCCAATCAATGAGGCCTTCATTGGCGACATGTGAGACCAGCCCATTTCCTGCACTTCCCCCATGTCTAGCATGGAAAAGCCATACACCGTGACTCTGAATAACAGTGGTCTTTCCCAGTATTTCATCCATGAAATTCTGGAAAGGTGGAAGTGTCTGATGAACTGTCAAGGTGGTAGGAAGGACGAAATTCCTGTCTTGCCTTCAGAATTTCAACTGGTTCACCACCCGACGGAAAGCCTTGTGCAGTGTTAGACACCCTGCTGCCATTTGCTGTCTACCCCTGTAAAATAACCTGGGGATTCTGTTTGGGGAACAAACAGATCTTCCAAGGCAGCGAAGGAAATGGAATAGTCATCCGGTAGGACCTTCAGGAATAATTTGATTTCCATCTCGAAAGTCACAGGTTCCCCAAGCACGTCCGAAAGAGTAAGCTGGTCAGCCTAATTTGTTATCGACATAGGAGATTCCGTGTCCTCCGAAGATGCCATGCTGTCTCTCTTCTGTAAGGGATTGCAATTGTACACCACTCTCCTGTGCAGAACTCTAGGTGAAAGTTTGCTGCACGGCTTAAAGGAGATTGGTGTCTTTATTGCTGCTTGGGCATGCCCTGGGCTCAGACAAGGCAGGCATTCGACATGCGGATACCTATTTGCAATACTTGTGAATTCACATCCCCTAGGACAATTGTGAGAATGTGCTCTGGACTTGTTAGGCTTCATAGAAGAAGTGGTAAGTTTCAGGTAAGTTAACTTTTTGTCTATTATATATGCTTGGTTAAGCAGTTCACTACACTTGTTTAATTTGGCCTGATGCCCTACGAGAAGCATGTAACTTGTCTTTTGGACAGTTTAGTCTTGTCAAACTAACACTAATTGTACTGAAAAAAGGTCTCGTAGCTTAAATGCCGCGAGTAAAGAGAGGAAGGATGCAATTTTGAGACAGCACTGCTGTTTAAATTGGATGGGGTGGGGATTCCTTGGAGGTGTGATTGCATAGGGCTTCACGGATGGCCATGCAAGAGACCTTTCCCATAGTGAGAGTTGACCAATAGAGAGCTAATGTTAACTAATTAAACCTTGTTATAAAGTGTTACCATGAAAGGTAAAGGATTTTGTAATGTCATGCTATTGAAATGTACATACTACATAAATCTGTGCTAAACTAAAAGTACTAAATGAGGAAAATGCAACTAATTTTATTTAACTAGTCTTGTATAACTATTTCATAAGAAATTAAATACAGGACAAAATCCACATTTCTCCATAACACTGTCACTGTCATAACAGAATTAACAGAATTTGACAATGTACTATTTAAACTTCTCTTAGTAAAAACATGCGAAAGTACATGACATTCATGGCACTTACTATATAAGTCTGTCTCATCCAAGATTTCAGACTTGATGATTTCTTCAATGACATCCTCCAGGGTGATAATGCCAAGAACTTCATAGAAGGGGTCGCCTTCTCCTTCGTTGTTAACCCGCTGGACTATTGCCAGGTGAGATTTACCTAGGAAATAATACAGTTGTTTAAAGGTAGATTAAGATCCACACCATTCTTATTTTAAAGTTTAAGCTGTTTGCATATAAAGGAATATTTAATGCGTTTTCTAACTGTATCAAAATGTAATCAAGCTTAAAATTATAGTTCACTCAAAAATGAAAATTCTGTGATCATTTACTCTTAGGAGTAAATATGACTTTTTTATTTATAATAAAAAAAAATAAGATATTTTAAGTAATTTTTCAACAGTTTTTGTCCATAGATCAAAAGTCAATGGGGTCCAAAACAACACTTATAAAATGCTGAAGAAATTCAAAAGCCTAGGTTTGGAATGAAATGCGTAAAGTGTGTAAATAAAGTCAGAATTTTCATTTCTGACCACATGCACATATCCTACAATGTGTAACTGCTGTCGGCAGCTTGATAATGGTATTGGCATAAAAATGTTGGCAATGGCAACAATCCTAGTGGTTTCTACACCAAATCTTAACAAATTATCCAACATATGTACTATACCTGTACAACCAACACTCTAGAGTATCTCAGACCGTCTATGGCATGAAGCCACACTCTCTCCCTCTGCTAAGTTCAAAACCCTGTTTCCCAAAACACCTAAGTGTTTTGTCTTTGATATGGAAGGTTTAGAGGTCTAGAGTAACTGGGTTCAGTCTCAAAATACTGTGTATTATGTCTTTAAACAAAAGTAGTCCAGTCTTGGTGAGATATCTCCACTGGAGTGGACAAACATGTCATAAGCATTGTGCTGTCTAAAAAAACTTGTAAAGTAAGATTGAATGAGCTCCTGCTTCTGATAATTGGTGTTTATTTCAACTAAATAAAAACCGAAACCCTGTAAAAGGACATGGGCAAATCTTTCAAGTTTCTCCTGAAGCTTTAATACATATCCCAAAGACAAAAGTGAAAAACTCTTTTGTTTATTCTGTCAGGAAAAACACCAAACAAATTCTTTGCCTTTTCTCAGCTTGTGAACTTTTAGAAGGAATTTTCCAGAGGGCCAGGCTAATATTAGACCTGAAATGAAGTTTCCATTCCACTTGGGCAATATTCTCACCAAAGCGACTGCTGGGTGATCTGATCTGTCTCAGAGCTGGTCGTTTATATGCAGATGGCCATTTGCTGAAATACTAGGAAGCCTGGGACGCACTTGTGGCAAACCCCATGACAACACACAAACAATGTTTGGCTATAAATCTCTGCTTAAGGAGTGTGGCCTTAACTTGAGTGTGTGTACCTTTTCCTTATTTTGTCACTGCAATGATTTTAATGAACCTTAGTTTGAAACGAGCAGACACTGATTAGCTACTTGCTCTGTTTTTATTTAAAATTAACAGCAAGACAACTAGAAGTGAATGTGCTTTCCATTAAATAAATCACACACAGTAAACAAAGCCTTTTACAAAAAAACAAAACAAAAAAAACGTAGCAATTTTGCAATTTAGACGGGCAAACTGCTTGCCGGTGCAATGAGCACGCGCTCTGATCGGTAAAGGGGTACAGACCTCTCCCAAATCATCTCCAGCAGTAGCAGCCTCCGAAGCACCACTAACTCCGCCTCCGTTTCCCTCGTAAGCTGATATTAGTATTTAAACATTCCGTATGATAACAAAATATTGTATGTTGTCTAATGACGGTGTTAAACTATAACCCTCACACCCCTAGTTCCATCGCTGTGCTGTCGTCATCGTGTAAAGCCCGCCCAAACGTTTCTGATTGGTGCTGCGATTTCGACGGATTAGAAATGGGTTTGGATGAGCTCTTTGCCAGACTAACTTCCAGAGCAAATCTAAATTGACCGGAAGTTATTTGGGTTTTCCCAGGCTAGCATGTAGCTTGATTCACTAAACATCTAAGAATATGTTGAAACTACTGTACTTTATGTTTGCAATCCTATGAGTCATGTTTTTTATAATCACCAAATTTTGCAGTTAATGAAAATATTAAAAACATAACTGAACTGTATTGTTATCTAATGAAATTTAATTATAAATTGCATTCTTGTTATTAATACTCAAAGGTTACTTAGACCGATGACCTGATCTAGAATCCTTGTCCACAACACTATAAACTAAATCGCATTTAAGGTAAGATAAACCTTTTCAGTCATTTGACTAAACCTCAAAAGGAACACTTACTGAAACAAAGTTACACTAATTATAAAGGGTGACTCTGTGATATGTGATGATGAAGTAACTTGATGGCAAAGGTTACCAGTGTTATCACAGAAAATAACTCCACAAAAGAGTATTTAAATAATATCAGTCATTCCTTTGTATGCAAGTGGAAATGAATCACCCTTAAAGAGACTGCATAAGAGCAAGGGTCAAGGGGTAGTAGAAGTCACAAGACTAAATAAATAAGTGCTCAAACATTCAATCTCAGCACAAAAAGAAGGGTTTATTCAGGCAACAGTGGAAAAAACATGTTTACTTGTATTTTCCTTCCCTTGAGTACACCATATCTCACCCCTTCAAGGAAACAAGGATATTTGCTTCTACTCTGTTCCTGCTGGGATTATATCTATCCCAAGGTAGAGGGAAAAAAAAGAAGATTACAATTTTATTTCATTATTTGTGGTCACAGCTTGAAAAAAAAGAAAAGAAATGGAGAAAACTGACAGTCATTATATTTGCAATTTAATCAAATGACATTATGAAACCATGAAAAACACATACCAGCTTTGACGCTTTTTATATTTCATATAGCCTACATTTTGTGGGCAAAACGGTCCATTAAGGTGTTGCAATGTATAGAGCACTGTTCAAAAAAGTAGACTCTTTCAAACCTTAAATGGAAATTTTTGAGAAATCTTGCACCCTCATACGAAATTCCTAAGTGTGAATTCTTACTGAAAATGTAATTTTACCCCAGAAAATTTGTCAAACAATGGTAAATAATAATTATTATTTACTCACATATTCTGAAAAACTGAAAACAGAGAAGTTAAAGCATAAATGTACTGTAAAATCTAACCTTTTGGTTAACAGATGATATTTAGTGTGAAATCAAGACTTAAATCATTTTATTTCAAATTTATTCCTCCTGATTGCTTTATTCCGCATAATTGTGACTTTATATCTTATACTGTTACTTATTTAAAGTTTATCTCAGAATTACATATTTTATTTCATACTCTGCATGTGTTCTTCTATACAGTGGTGGACAGTAAAGTAATTTTACTTTGTTAACCTGCTGTATTTAAGAAAGTACATTTTCCAAGTATCTGTTCAGTGATTTCTTCAGGTTGAAATTACGAGGAACAATATGTATTATAAAAGTATAGCAGGGTAGAAAGTTCAGTATTATGTTTTGGAATGTAGTAAAGTAACAAATTTTCTCAAATTTTTAGAAAGGAAATAAAGACATCATCAAAGTAGTCCATGTGACATCAGTGGGATAATTAGCAAGAATTTTTTGAAGCATCGAAAATATATTTTGGTCCAAAAATAACTAAAACTACAACTTTATTCAGCATTGTATTCTCTTCCGTGTACTGGTTACCAGATACACGCCAGTAGCGTCTTACATCAGCAGTGTCACTGCAGACTCGTGAACGCGGATTGACAACAGAACCGGAAAAGAATACAATGCTGAATAAAGTTGTAGTTTTAGTTATTTTTGGACCAAAATGTATTTTCTAACTAACCCACTGATGTCGCATGGACTACTTTGATGATGTCTTTATTTCCTTTCTGGACAAGGACAGTTTACCATGTATACATTTTCAATGGAGGGGCAGAAGCTCTCGGACTAAATCTAAAATATCTAAAACTGTGTTCCGAGGATGAGGTCTTACAGGCTTGGAATGACATGAGGGTCATTAATGACATACTTTTCATTTTTGGGTGAACTAACCCTTTAAAGGACACCTATTATGCCCCTATTACAAGATGTAATATTGGCCTCTGGTGTCCCCAGAATGTATTTGTGAAGTTTCAGATCAAAATACCCCATAGTTAATTTATTATAACCATTTGAAAAAGTCATTTTTGGGGCCTGTTTAAAAATGAGCTGTTTTGGGCTATACGACCTTAAATGAAAATGAGCTGCATATCACCGCCCTGCCTTTGGATGAGGGCGTAACTTCATACCTATGGCAGTCAGTAAGCAGAAGGGCTAATGAGAGACACGCTGTTTTGAATGTCATTCAGTCGTACATGTTTGAATCAGAATATATAAATAGTGTCTGATGAGAGCCAGATGACGAAGAGACCCAGGCAGAATAAACACAAATGAGAATGGACCAGTATGTCTTGGTATGGTTATTTGATACATTTATTTACTTATAGAGTTGTAATCGCGTCCCCTTTGAAATTATGGGTGTGCAACACACACAAACACTAACGTTGGCGCAATTTTTTGAAACTACATACATACTGTGATAAAGTTTGCTACGTACAAGCGAAATTACATTTATGCGAGGGACCTGTTGCGTCATGTTTACCTGTCATACAGGTGCTTCTGTCGCAAATGTGAAAAGATGGCTAACTTACAGAACAAGAAAATATATGCAGTTTTTAATACAATATCTTTAAAAATATATATATTTATAAACATGTGGTTACACACTATAGAAACAAGGTTTAAATTATATACACAGTCTTCCAAAATACAATACATCCACTGTGTTTACAGTGGCTCTGATGTCGGAAATAAGTGAAAACTACTATATATGTCATTATTACATCCCATCCCACAACAGAACACTTATGTTTCCAAGAGACATTACCAGCTGTCATTGAAACAATGGAGGATGTTGTACAGATCACCGAGGGCGGGGTCTATGCCACAACCACACTGTCAATAAAACCCCTTGCTCAATTCTACATCACAAAGCGCTGAATCTTAGAACAGCTCGTTCTGAGTCAGTGCATATGATTTATTGAGATTGTAAAAAAAACACTGGGTGGATTTTTATCATTCTAGGGTGGTTTTGCTCACACACTGCCAACACACATATATGTTCAAACACCATGTAAAAGTGAATT